CTTAATTAATCACAACAACCCACAATCCTTCCTTACCCTTAACCATGCCATTGTTGCCATGTGCAGATATGAAAGAAACAAGTAATTAAGAAAAGATTAGCAAGTTAGTAAGTAAGGCTTTCTTTATGTTTCACAAAGACATTTGAAAAGCATTTTATTTAAAAGAAGGCAAGCAAAACTTTGCCCTAAAGGGAGCATGTAAAGGGAGATTTAGACTTATCCCAGAACTGACCCTTGAGGAACTCCACAGGCCAGGTGGAGTAGCACAATCAGACATCTTGTTAGAATGAATGCAAAGGCACAATTAAATTAATCTGCAGAAAACCTTTTCAAATATAATGATCTGTGGTATTAATAGGGTTGAACATTTTGTTACATTGGTTTAGAGGACTTTACATTCAATCTCGGCACGTATAGCTGATGCTTTTGAGACATGAGATTTTTAACTGTAGAGCTCCTAGCAGCAGATACGTAAAAATATATTTATAAAACTGGCCGTCTGAAATTTAAAGTAAGAAGGACACTTTCTGTGGATTTCCAGGAGTGTTTTTCCTAAAGTTACTTTCTGAGCTGCTGAGCTTTAAACTTTCCATTGAGCCCTCAGTTCGTCAGAAAAGTCCGTGTTTATAGCTGAGAGGCAGAGCAGATTGACAGGTGATGGCTGAGATATCGTGTGTGTTTCTGTGTGTCTGACTGTGTGAGTGTGCACGGGAGAGCAGAAGATGAGAAAACTAGCTGTAGGTTATTTATCTTCCAAGCTGTTGGCTGGGCTGAGCTGTCTGCACCATATTGTGTGTGTGTGTGTGTGTGTGTGTGTGTGTGTGTGTGTGTGTGTGTGTGTGTGTGCGCCAGTCAGAGGCATAGCACACAGATTTGCTAATAAGTTTATTGATCCAGTCATCTGACACTACTCATCTTGTTAGTGCATCCACCTGCTGATGTGCAGCTCTGACCAAAGTACTAAGGCAGCTGAAAGAGTCATGCACATTTTTTAAGAGATGCTTCACTATTTCTTTTATCTTGAAAGTCCTATATTCTAAATGTTTTTTGGTAAACTTGAAAAAGCTGGTATCATTGTAAACCTGTTAACCTAAAAATTGACTGAATCCCTCATTTAATCAGTCTTGGATTTTTTTCAAGAGAAATCTTGAGAGAAATGTTTTAAAACAGCCAGAGAAACATCTAGTTTCAGATTTGTTTTAAGATGATATGTATCTGAACACTGGGCTACAGAATGACTGTATATATTTATCCAGGTACTAAATCTGAGCAGCAGTTTTGACACATTATAGAGAGGTTGTAATGCTTATTAGTCTGCAGCATGAAGCCAAGACAGCATCACCTCTCTGAACAGAATACCAGAGGAATAAAACCTGACTGTTTATCCATTATTGAAGACAGTATTATTATATCCATCTATACCATTGTCAGTAATATGAAGTGAACTATAACGATTAGATGAATGTGTTTGTCAGCTCCACAAGTTGCATTCTGTATTTCTGTCATCCGGTTGATCGATTGCAACAAATCTCCCCATAAGTGACATTTTTTCCTCACAGCAGAAGATGTTTATTATTGTGAAATGGATAGCTTGTCTTATATGACGCAGAGAGATTCATTTGCTAAATTTGATGCTCGAGCTGATGCTCTAAGATTTTAGAATCTATTTTCTTACAAATGCAGCATCTGTGGTATTATGAACAGTTAAAAGTGACCCAAAAGAAACTGAAAAAATGTAATTATCTTACCCTACAGGCAGAATATTTTTCTGTTTTTAGAACACCTTTTTAGGACAATTTTGTTTGTTGTGGTGTGTTTGTTGCTGTAATCAGACTGATGCAGGGCAAAGTTAAGGAATAACATCAGAGCTTGACGCGCGCGCGCACACACACACACACACACACACACACACACACACACACACACACACACACACACACACACACACACACACACACACACACACACACACACACACACACACACACACACACACACACACACACGCAAACGACACCAAACAAAATAATCCAAATGTGGCTGTTCACCCTCCCAGATAGATCATTTCTCATTGCTATGGCAACAGCTGACAGCTAGCAGTCACCGTTGTCATGGGAACAGCTTGACAGGCTCGTAAAGAGAATAGGAAGACGGAGAGAGAGTAGAGGATGTAAGCGAGGTTAAAGAAAAATAGAAACCCATAAAGAAGGAACTAGCACAGCAGAACATTACACACCCCATGTGTTTTTAAATGGTGTATTAAATCTAAATTTGTGATTGCTATTTTTGATTGTCTGACTCAATTTTAAAGCTGCTTATAGATGACCAAATAAGCTAAATGAATTTTATAATGTGAGGGGGATGCATGGGGACGGTCGGTATAAATAAAAAGAAGATAAATGCTACCAAGGGAAGTCAGAAAGAAAGATTAGTATTTTCCATTTAGGCTTGAACATGCCCTCTGTATCTTTCCTCGCTTCCTCCTTCCTTCATGTTCCCATATTTCCCTCCTTCATCTCCTTCCCTTCCTCCACTCCTGATTCCCCTCCGCCTCACAAAAAGGCTTTTAGGTGATTAAAACACAACAGAGTGTTTTTTTTTTTTTTATTGCTTTTGTTCACTTTCAGTCTGCCACTGTGAGTGCCGATTGCATCTGTTTGAAATATTGTCTTCTCTGTTTTTCACTTTAGTGCAATACATTTCATCAATTCCCAGAGGGCTTTATAGAGAGGAAAACCAGCAGGACACAGGTGCCAAAAATGAACTACGTCGTACTAATAATGGGGTTTAACTCGTCAACAATCACTCATGAATAAACATAATGTACTGTATATGATATATATATATAATTTCGTACACTTTAAGAGCAGATATTACTGGGATATCCAGGAATTTATATTATTGACACAACTACTGCTGTGTAACAATTTGGCCACAATTAGCACACTGATATACACAGTCCAGGTATATACTAGGTTTCGACCTAGTCTTGCTGACTGTATTAAGACATACAGGCAAACAATACTCTACAGCCATGCTAGGGGCTTTGTGAGGCTGTGGTGCTTTGATGTTATTGCTCACATCAATACACTAACATGCTCACAATGAATGTGCTAACCTGCTGATGTTTAGCAGGTATCATTTTTACCATATTCACCTTCTTATTTTTGGGTGTTAGTGTGCTAACCATTGCTTATTTGCACTTAAGAAAAAGGAGAAAATAAAAGTATATGTCATGCATAGCTAAAACATGTAATGATTATTCCATAAGCCTGTAAATAAGCAGTGAAAGTCGAGCAAAAACATAGCAGGGTTCATGAAATTTTTGGACTAAATCCACTCATTCTCACATCTCTCTATTCTTAAATACGTTCTTCATTTGTGTAAACAGCTTCATCTGACCTTCGCCACGCTTGCAGCCTTGGCATTTGCAGAAATATTGAGCTTATGTAAACACAGGAATATTTAAAGACCCTAATTTTTGCTCAGTGCGCTGCTGCTGCAGCTGCTGCACTGTTGGCTTTCTTTAAAGAGCATTCATTAAAAAACAACTTTCTTCTCTGCCATCCAAAGGGTCACCATGTGGCCTTGCAAGTAGTTAAAAATTAAAAATAAATCTTTGTTTCATGAATTAAAAAATAACAGGCTGCAGTGGAGGATAGTTGGGCGATGTTGGATGGCTCGCGTAGATAATAAATGTGCAACACTTTTGATTATTAGCACTGTTGGCTTGTGGCTACACAGGTCAGAGGATCATAATAAAAGTTTCAGCTGGTGGTGAATCCAATACAAAATACTCAGGCTATGATGGTGTTTATGTGTGGCAGTGGGCTCACACACACACACACACACACACACACACACACACACACACACACACACACACACAAACAAATCTGCATGTACCCACTCCTCTCACAGGGCTGACAGATTGAGGAGGTGGAGCTTAAACTACCCATACCGACCCTGGCAACAACATAATGGTGATGCAATAGTGTGTGTGTGTGTGTGTGTGTGTGTGTGTGTGTGTGTGTGTGTGTGTGTGTGTGTGTGTGTGTGTGTGTGTGTGTGTGTGTGTGTGTGTGTGTGTGTGTGTGTGTGAGGCCTAACTGATGACTCACTGGTAGCTAAAGCTTTAAAATGTACTGACGACCGGATTAATGCTTTACACATTTTTTTTGTGTTCTGTATATCCACAAAAAATTGCAGTAACACGTACACAGGCACAAGCAGACATGCACGCAGAACGACAGTGCATTTAAAATGAGGATGATGACTAACTGTGTACCATGTCCTGCTTTTTCCAAATGCTGCTGTCACATCCTGTAAATACGAGTGTACCATCTGTCCACCCACCTCTGCCTCTCTGCTTCACTGCCACTGCCGCATCTGAGCTGAACTCCTTAGGGAGCAGCAACACCAAGCAGGAGATTGGCTCAAAGCAAAAGCACCTGGAGCTAAATTTTCACTTTTGTTGGACATAAACAGCTTTGGTTGCAACCACTACAGCCATTTTTTGGATCAAAGTTAAACTTATTCCTTCTTTGGTAGGAGTTCCCGTCCCGTCTCCATATAACCTTTTGAACCCATGCTGCGTAACTTACAAAATAGGCAGCCAACAGTGAGAATATTTGCATTTTCTTCATTTGGTTTGTGAAAAAAGTTAAAAGTAAGAGAAGTTCCACTTTGAAACCCAGTGCTTTGTAAACATAGTATTTATATTTGTGATGTTGCCCAGGTTTTGCATCATGGCTTATGAAATAATGTTCTAGCCTGACTTCTTAAAGAGAAATTATCCTCTTTAAGTGATCCATGAGCATATCTAGGACACCAATACCAGTATTCTGTATAATCCAGCCAGTGGTTGTGGTCAAGCCACATGTTGTGGTCTGTTATACTGTAGCATTTCTGTATACTGGCATCATTATTTGATTTCTGTGATATTTTGTTTTTGTCGTTTTTCTTCCTTGTTTTGTTAATGTTTTTGGCGACATTGATAGCAGTTGACATCCCAAAAAATGCTGGTAAGTTGTATGCCTGCAGCTGGATTGCTCAGCTCAGATTGATGCACTGTTTTGAGGTTGTAGTTGGTTTGTTGGATTGAGATCATGCTGATGTTTTGTCGTAATATCTGAAGTGTGCCACTGTGCAGCCATCATATCACCAACCCCAACACTTTACTTCCCCACCGACATCGTCAGCCTGCTGCTGCCCCACAGTCACGACTTGCCAGCGTTCTTCTTTCAGAGCAGATTCACTTGCATTGCGATGACATGTCTGTATGCATGATGTGGAGGAATATTTGCACTTTCACACCAGATCCCAGGGGGTAATGGCACTAAAGAAAGAGTCGATTGTCTCATTGACAATTGGCTGGCCAATCGGTGTAGCCAATTCAGCTCACATGCTGATGCTGATGATGTTGAGACAGATCTTGTCACACAAGGACGTAGAGTCTAAAAAGCCATGGAGCAGTCACATGTGGCTGTGATAGCTTTTAAGGATCATAGGAAAAAAACCAAGAACTCCTCTTTATTTACCTCCTATGGGGAAAAAATGTAAAGTTGATAAAAATGTAAAGTTGATAAAACCTTTTTCCATGCCATCACCATGTGGGATCTTGTTGTTACGTCACTGAAATCAGGTGGAATGTAAATATAGTGGCCAAATGCATAGGTTATTGTGTTTAAGAGGATGGGTTAAGCCCTTTTCACACAAAAACCAACCATTATTTAAAAAATATCTCCATTTAGAATGGTTATTCTTTGAGAAAAAATACCACACAATGAACTTCTGTCTTCCTTAATGTCATCTTCTGCTCGGATGGCTTGTAGAATGGTTAGTAGGCAGTCATTTTAAAACAAAAATTTTGTAAACTCCCTTAGGATCTTGAATCAGATAAGAAGCGTTTGCAAGCTGCCGAATACTTCTGTACATACTCCTATATGCCATAACCATTCATTTTTAACATCCCAGGCGGATAGGGTGTTTGTAGACTGGAGAGAGAGTAGACTTTTTGCTTCATTTAGTCAGCTGACAACAAAGTTTAACTTACCAAATTCTCATCACTTTCGATATCTCCAAATCAGGCACTGTGTTAAAGGTGTATTTCCAAACTTTGAAACCATGCCAACAAGTTGCCCATTCTATGATCTCATGCTGCTTCCTCCTGACTCCAGGCACCTAATGTCTCGTTTTGTGTCCTTGTTCTTCACCTCCGCATCCACTCACCATCTCAGAGAAGCCGGGTCTAACGAGCTGGAGCTTGAGGTGTCAGACGATACCTGGAATTAAGCTTTGACTAGAATTCATACCTGTTTTATCAATGTTAGATACAAATTGATTCAATTCAAAGTCGTTCATCGATTGCATTATTCTAAGCTTAAACTGCATAGAATCTATCCATCGCTTTCTCCACTGTGTGACCGATGCGGAGGTGCAGAGGGTTCGTTATCACATCTTTTTTGGTTATGTCCTCAACTGCATAAGTTCTAGTGTGATGTATTTCAGTGGCTTAGTCTGGTCTATAACTTGGACATTGCCCCTGACCCAGAGCTGGCGCTCCTTGGGTGCTCAGAGAATGCTCTCAGGTACTCGCCTGAGATACAACAAGCACTAATGCTTGGCATGATTCTCCTGGACTGGAAATCCCCCACTCCCCCTTGCTTTCTTGCTTTCGAAAATGGCTCAACGAAATGACTGGGATTATCCAGATGGAAAGGATACGCTTCCACAACTCTAAAACACAAAACCGCTTTCTGAGCATTTGTGGTCCATTCATTGGCTATCTTAAAGACATCCTTTTCTGTAGAGATGTGCTCTTGACCGTACTGCAACTTGTATTTTTGTAACACCTGGCCATGTAGATGACAGCAATATTACATTCATCCAAGACGCACTTTTAATTTTATCTGGCAGCTCTGTTGTTCTGTGTTATTCTGTTGTTGTTGTTGTTGTTGTGTTTTTTTTCTTCTCTGTCGCTGTGCTTTGTTTACATAAAACCTGAAAAATTTGAAAATAAAATATTAAAAATAAATAGATGAATAAAAATTGTGAAAGAAGCAAAGGATGTTCTGGTTTCTAAACTAAACAATTAGTACAGTAGAATTAGATAGGCCTGACAAGACAAAATTTATATCATTATACAACTAGGAATGCACCGATCATATACGCTGGAGTGGTATCTGTGCATTATGAAGCAAACTGAGTATCAGCCACAAAGTGACCAATCCACACAATAGTTTCTTTGTCAGTGCCATTATAACTTTTTGTGTTTCCATTCATTCCGTCATAGCATCATAGCATACTGCTCACTTAGTTTTTAGTGCCACAGCAATCCCTAGTCTCATGTTACCTTACATAAATGATTACAAAGTGTTTCACAGGTTTTAATTTTTTGAGAGCACTGGTATCCCATCGGTACTTGGTATCAGCAGATATCCCAAATTTAGAATTCGTATTGGCGAACACAAAAACTGGATCAGTGCATCATTACTTGGAAGAAAACATGTTTTCTCAGTTTCCACCAGTGGTATCTAGCTATTAACATCCTTTTGATTTTATGTGCCCAGATTTTTGGTATTTGAGATTTCTACCTCCAGTCCAATACAATGGGAGTGATTGAAATGTCTTTGCTGCACACTAAGCACTGAAAAAAAAAAATCTACATTTGGGATGCAAAAGAAATGCCTTTTGTTTTTATTGATACACCAACTGTTCCATATTCAAAATTTAGTGTAAAAATGTTTTGATATTTTTTTAATTTCCAGTTTTTCCACTATGGTTTGTTGAATACACACTTACAGTCCTGGTTACTCTGGATAACCCATAGACCATGCTGTGAACAGGTTTTTGTGGTAGTATTAGCTACTGAAGAACATTAACAAGGTGTTAATAGGTAGAAACCACTAGACTAAATTGGGGCACTTTTACCCAGGAATCTTAAATTGTTTTCTCACAGTAGCATTGTGAAGCGTTTGATTCACAGGAATTTTAGTTGGTTTTGTAGACCAATAACTGTTGTGTCCGCTTTTCTGGAATATGGACTGACTGTCTGGAGCATGACTCAGACAGAAAGTTTCTGGAAGGTCATTGTGGCATGTGTGAAATGGACTTGATGCACTTGCCCAAAAAGTCCCAGTTAGCTCAACATGCACTATCTAAGAGCATTTATATCTGCCTGCTGCATGTAGAAGCTTTAATCCCAGTCATATTCACAATGTGATCTCTAGTACATCCAGTGTTGTAAAATGGCCTTTATATCATGACTTAAGGGCAGGTTTTCTATTACTTTTTTTCCTGTTACAAGTTCCATTTGACTGAATAATGGGGACATTCTCGCAGCCGGAACATTTCTCCACCAGTCTGGGTGTCACTCCAGCTTTGAGGAGGAATGGCCTTCAGAACTGCAGCTTTTCATCAGTTTAATGGAGGAAATACATTATAGTCAGGTGTTATCACGGTTGATTGATCTGGCCACTCACAGAGAACCAGAATGTGTCCTTCCTTATTGGACTCCTTGTATACATGTGATGTCAAAACATTGATGTTATGAAAGCATGATGATAGGCTGTCGTGCTGTAGAACGAACATGTGGGCACATGTTTAACACTTTATATTTCTCTATTTTTTTTTCTCCTTCCACCTACCTCCCCTGCCTCTGTTTTCTCTCTCTCCTCTTGCTCTTATTGTCCCCCTTTGTCTCTTTCTGTGTCTCTCCCTGTGTCTCCAGTCCACTCCACTTCACCTGGCAGCAGGATACAACAGGGTGAGGATAGTTCAGCTGTTACTACAGCACGGAGCAGATGTTCATGCCAAGGACAAAGGGTACGTACAAATAAATTAAAATAAAATAGTAAAGAGGGTTTAAAAGAAGACAGGAAATGGGAGGGCAATGTGCCAGAATTTTGACTTTTTTAAGATCTAAATCTATAATACCATATTTCAGTGGCAGTAGTGGTAGCAAGTATGCTGGTTAATATATGATCAACTGTGCTTTCCATTCCTGAGATATCATCAAGAGTCCTTGCTGCACTTGATTGGATGAACATACCACATGCAATACTTACGTTGGTGGAAATTCTATTAATGTTGTCAAATGCATCCTGCATTATCCATCAGAATTCATTTCTGAATAAATCTGAGGTAAAACTAGGCCATGCACTTACTGAGACGTGATTCATTTTGATTGTAGGTTTGGGAGTTTCAAGTGTAGTTGCTATTTAAGACTGATTCCAGCTGTTGGCTTCAGTTGATGTTATTAAAACTAAAATTAAGCTCATAAGATTTAGGCAGAAAATGTACACCCTCTGATATTAGAGCATAGAGAGGTAAAAGTAAATCAGAATTTATTTGGTGAAAGTATTGAATTAAAGCCATGCTAGCAGCGTTGCTGTCAGGATATCATAATGTTGGTTTGTCTGTTGGTCCCCACTGACATCTGTTACAAGTTTTGTACAGACATTCACTGTCCCCAGTCGATGCCCCTTACTAACTTGCGGTGATCCTCAGACTGTTCACCTCGCGCCACTGTGAGGTCAAAGTTTGTTTAACTGATACCTGCAAGACTAATGACATCCCATCAGCCTCGGCTGTTCTTTAATGTTTAGTGCTAATTGTTAAATGTTAGTATGCTAACATGCTAAACTAATATGGTGAACATGGGAAACGTTATACCTGCTAAACATCAGCATGTGAGCTCAAAGCACAGCTGTGCCTAAGTACAGCCTTACAGAGTTGCTAGCATGGCTGTAGATTCTTAGTCTTGTTACAAAATTCATAATTGAACTAATGAAGAAAAATATAATGGACAGGTAATGAATGATGGTGTTAAGTTCTGATTTTGAATAGTTAAAATGTATAATTATTGTTAATTAGACAGCTTTGTTTTGCACTTCCAGTGGTCTGGTGCCTCTACATAATGCCTGCTCCTATGGACACTATGAAGTTACTGAGCTGCTGCTAAAGGTACACACTCACACACTCACACATACTAGCTCAGTATTTACCGAGGCAGTGGCACAAGATTCTTCATTAATATGGTTATGATTTTCCTAAAAAAAAATGGAAATGAATCCAAAGAGAATCAAGTCCCACTGTTTTGTGGCTTTTATTAAAAACAAGTAACAACTATGCGCCAGTATTTGTGTATGGTGTAATTATAGTGTATTAGTAAGGGCTGACTGCTTACCTCCCTTTAGAACAAGTCAAAAAAATATTTCACAACAACTCAAACTTTGTTGTCCTCTCTTTCTTCCTGTTACTCGCTGCTTCTCCCCCATTTATTCATCCACCCTCCTGTTTTGTTTTTTTTTTCAGCATGGAGCATGTGTGAACGCCATGGATCTGTGGCAGTTTACCCCACTCCATGAAGCGGCGTCTAAAAACAGAGTGGAGGTCTGCTCCCTACTGCTGAGCCACGGGGCTGACCCGACCCTGCTCAACTGCCACAGCAAGAGCTCTGTGGACATGGCGCCCACTCCTGAGCTGAAAGAGAGACTTACATGTGAGTGTGGTACTTAATTTACATAAAGTGCAGCTGCAGTGTACAGCGCTGCTAAATGTGTCATGGTGCTGAATTAATGAATAGGTTGTTTCAGGAAGGGTGTATTTACAACAGTTATGTTTGGAGCATTTGATTTGAACTTATTTCAGCATTGAGACAGTCTAAAAAGTGAATATCAGTCTTTTAATTAGAGAACTGAGAGCTGAAAGTCAAGGAATTATGTGTTTGAAAGGAGACATACTAACATTTCATAGCCAGCAGTTCCACATGCTTGGACTCTACTGCTGCTCGTATTCAGCTGTTTTTTTCATGCGTACTCAAATGGATGAAACATCACAGAGGAAAAGTGCAGACAAGTCCATTATTTTTAGAAACAAGTTTAAAACATGAACAAGAGTTTTGGTCCTTAGCTTCCAAAATCTCTTATGTAAGAAAAAAGAACCCTGCTTAGCTTGTAATTGGACTGCGTACACAGAAAAGTATTGAATCCAAAGGAAGGAAAAACCATCTTGCAACTTGGATGATTAAACAAGTTGGAAGATGTACTCTACATAAACACTTTACACTTCCTAAAGAAAGCGAGCAGAACACAATTAAATGCAAAGGATCCTGGAAAAAGCTCAGCCTCAGTGTGTAAATGTATGCAGACACACACACTACATACACTGGCATAAAAACTGACACAGGTAGAGTTATTCAGGAATTCCAAGTCCATTATTTCCACAGTCAGTAGTGAGTTAGTCCCATTTATAACTCCTGCCTTTTCAATTTCTTTCATACAGTTGCTCATTCATAGAAGCACTACACCTTCACCTCAAGATATGAGGCTGTGGGCAATTTTCAGAAACCTTTCACTCCAAATATCCTTCAACAACTGTATGTCATGTTCCATTTTAATTTCAAGGCGATTCTGATGTGTATTAAAAAAAAAAAAAAACACTTCACAATTTTACTCTTCTTCTCCACTGTTGCTTTTAAAAATACTGGTTTGGTTTATTTTTGTTTGGAACATTAGACTTGCATTTGTGCAGGCGTAAAAAAGACTGTACATCCCCACGCATGTGTTCTCGTAATGGAGCATTTTGCAGATGTATGATGTGTTAATTAAACAGAGAGAGCTCTGCAATTAATTACAATGATTTCCTTTACGTCTGCAGCAACCACAGAGTCAAGGCAGACAAGCCAAGTCTTTGTCTCTGCCAGAAAGCTCTCTGCAAGTCTTTGAAAGTTAATTAGTGAGTCAGCTCTCTTGCTGCTGCACTTGTTGCTTTATCTTTGTAATGAGGCAGATCAGAATAAAGATCAAATGCTACACGAATCACACGCCATCTTAAGTTTGTTTGCAACTGCAGGACAATTTCTCCTGTTAGTTGTTTGTTCTTTGATGAGGGTGTTTCTTTGAAAACATGCCTCAGCGGGGCATTTGCTGCAACAAGACTCGTCACAGGAATACAAATCTAAGACTGAAGATATTTGTTTTCAAAGTCCGACTTACTCCGTGTTATTCTTTTATGTCATGCTATGTGCTTTATGTTTGGGTATGTATTGTATACTTCTAATGTATCGATGTGTCCTCTAGCTGGTAAAGGGGTGTTCCACCTAATTAGACAATAGCTTATAGGGTGTGTCTCTCTGTGTTTGGGGTAGGTATAGATCGCAAGAGTTCAGATGAAATTCTGCTTTTTTCTTTTTCTGAAGGGAGTTGTTATCTGACCAGCACAGACTGTGAAAAGCAGTTAAAATTAGTTTTATTGAACCTTTGATACGCTGACATTAAGCCTTCTTCTCTGTTATTAATCCGGACGTGGGTTACAAGTTTTTTTATTGACAATAGAAAATCAAAATAAATCTTGGTTGCCCAGACGACGAAGAGACGTGAAAACAGTTCAGGGTAACTGGTCTTAAATAAGTAATCCATGTATAGTATTTTATAGGAATAGTTTCACATTTTGGGAAATACACTTATTCACTTCCTTGCTGCCAGGAAACCAGTGGAGACCAAGAAATAGTCCATAGGAAGCTGAGGAAATGCATAAAACCATGGACTTCATGTAGATTTGATTGGTTGATGTTGTCAAATTCTGGATGCCGGTCATTTAATGATAACAATAAGAACAACAATTTATAAATCAGATTAAATGTTCACCATAATGGATCTCCTATCTGAAGCATCTTTAAAGGCTTTCAACAGTTTCTGTTGTACAAAATTATGCTCACAATAATTTTTTAAGAAATACTGGATACTTCAGAGAATAAAATATCCCTTTGGTTGAACCGTTCACAGCACATGTTCATACCAAGGCTGTTAGCATTGATGAGTACTCAAAAGCAGACATTCATTTTTAAGGGTCACAAAACCCAAAACTTTAGGAGGCACTATGGCAAACTAACACGGATGAAAAATTACTTCAAGTTTCTCTTAAAGGAATAAACTGCAGAGGCTGCTTGTGGTGTGGATTTTCTCTCTCTTGACCACTTTCCCTTGAAGATGTGACTTCTGTGTGGCGCTCATACCATTTGTCTGAATGTCTGATTATGTATGCGTGAATGCTGCTGCTCAGTCGGTAGATAGACTTCAACAGGCTCCTTTTATGCAGCTTGAAATGCTTCTGAAGCAAAATAGTTTGTTGTTTGTAATTTTCAGTCCTCGGGGGGATAATCACTTGTTTCCGCTCCAACTCCAGCACACAGACTGTTGCATCAGAAGTTATTAGCTCGCTGGTGAAAACTCTGTAGTATCGGTATGCTGCAAGGTCATTGCAAGTGAAAGAATGTATTGTTACGGTTGGGTGAGAACCTCGTAACTCCTGTTTTGGTCAAGCTTTTCATTCAGTTGAAGCCCCAGATGCTCTGCTGTGTGTTTAGACACTCATGTAACTTTTGGATTTGTAGGAAACCTGTCAAAATAAACTTGTTCTTCAAACTGAAACTGAGGCTGTTCTCTCTGTTCCTAACATGTTGACATTTTGTGTGTGTTCAGATGAGTTTAAGGGCCACTCACTGCTTCAAGCTGCTCGGGAAGCTGACATGGCCAAGGCTAAGAAAACTCTGGCACTGGAGATCATCAATTTCAAACACCCTCACACACATGAGACTGCGCTGGTAAGATAAACATACACTTGATTGTAATTCCTTCATTGGCGCACAGATGCTAAGATGATGTTTCTGTGTGTGTGTTAGCATTGTGTAGTAGCATCGCCACACCCGAAGAGGAAACAGGTGACGGAGTTGCTGTTGAGGAAAGGCGCCAACGTAAATGAGAAGAATAAAGAGTGAGTGCTGTTTTTATCTGCTCATAAACACAAAAGGAGGTCATGGTTATCTTTTTATACAAGCGGTTAATAAATTGATATTGGTATTTTTGCACTGAATGAGTGTAATGGTTCATCCTAGAGTTACAGAGAAACTGTTGTTGTTTGACAGTGTTTCCTAATTAAAACAGTTGCACACTAGATGACTAGATGTTTAAGTGTTTACTGCATGTATGCATGAACAGAAACAACACATACTAATGTTGAACACGCTCACCTTTATCCCCTCTTTTTCTCTCATCTCTGTAGTTTCATGACTCCTCTCCATGTGGCAGCAGAGCGTGCTCATAATGACATTATGGAGGTGCTACAGAAACATGGTGCCAAGGTTAGACTTATCTTCATCTTCATCCAATTATCTATTTATCTCTTTACTTCCCCCTTAATCCGTTTCAAATATATGCAGAAAAATATATATATATATATATTAACAGAAAACGACCCTTTTAATGCCAAAGTGATGTAATTGCAGTAAATGTTTCTATAATCTGAAACATCGACATTAAACATCAGGGTTTTTAGTGTGTCAGACCTGCAGAAATTAAAGAGTGAGGGTTTGCTTTAAAGGCTGTCATTTTGATCTTATACTCAGCAGTCATACAGGGTGACATTCAGTATGGATGGAGCACAGATTTACATTAACAGAGTAGAATTGACGATTTTATATATATTTCCATTTTTAACATGGTCCCAAACATAGCTATTAACTGAACTACAGTATGTAATAATCAAAGGTAACTATTTCTACATCTTCCAGGATCACATTTGACATTTCTTTTTCTTGGTCATTTAATGTACTTCACAGAATCCACATAACTCAAGGTTATGAATATAACCCCGGTTCTCTGATTAGTATGAGTGAGTGTCTCACTATGGGAACGCCTCCGCTGCTTGGACACAGGCTTTCCCTCATGTCGTTTTGCCCAAGACACAAATAACTGGTCACCCTGTCTGATACCCTGGGTCCTGTCCAAATAAATTCGTAGTGCACAAGTATGCAAACGCCAGAGCGGGGGATAAAAAGCGACCAGTTCTATAAGGGAGCATGAGCCCATAACCTTCGGGATAAAGGCCGGGGTAGCCGAGGCTAAAGCTAGCAATAAGACCGTCTTCAGGGACAACATTTTCACCTCTACTTGTTCCAGTGGTTCAAAGGGGGAACAGGAGAGAGCATCTAGTACAGTGGGAAGATCCCATGATGGAGCCCGTGGTCTAGATGTATGTGGGTGTTGACCCAACGTCTTCCCATCAAAGCCGATATGGCAGGCAGAAAGAGCTGCCAAGTACACCTTGATGGTTGAGAAGTCCTTACCTTTCTCAATAAGGTGCTGTGAAAATGACAGAACTGCTACAGAACACTGAAAAGGAACAGCTTGTGACTCTGAGCACCAGCTCTCAAACACATACCATTTATGCTCACATAACGTCCTAGTCAAAGAGGCTCTGGCGCACTGAATAGTGTCAGTAACACTATGAGGGAGTGCACCTGTATTCAGGTTGAACAACTCACAGGTCAAGCCCACAGAGCTAGCCCCTCTGGGTCGGGGTGAAATATTTCCCCCCTTGCCTGAGACAGTAGGTCCCTGCGAAGTGGTAAACGACCAGTAGATAAAGCTCCACTAGCCAGTGCTTCCCTGGCCAACGTGGCGCTATCAGGATCATGGACTTGGGGGGGAAAGCATACAGGACAGTCTTCGACTACTTGTGTTCCAGTGCATCCACCCCAAGCGGAGCCCTCTAGTTGTGTAGAGAAAAGAACAGGGGGCAATGAGCATTCTCCACTGTTGCGTAAACGTCCACGATTGCCTGACCAAACCATGACCAAAGCTGTTTCACCTCTGGGGGGTGAAGCTTCCAGTCTGCATACAGTGGGTTTCCCCTGGGTAAACAGATTATCCCCGTAATTCAGAATGCCTGCTACATGTGTCACTCTCAGAGACTGCAGGTGCACACTGCTCCAAACTATCAGTCTGTGTGCCAGTGTGTGTAACTTGAGGGAACTCATCCTCCCCCCGCCTGTTGAAGCCACTATGGTGGAATTATCCGTCCTCAACAAAACATGATGACCTGGGGAGGCCTGGGGGGCTGCCTGTGCGTTAGATACTTTGGGGATCCTAAAAGCAGGGACTGGGTGAGAGACAGCCAGACTGGCATGGGGGCATGGGAGCGGTGGGCTGAGTCTTCCTCGGCAGGCAAATTTTCAGTGCCTCATCATCTCTCTTTTTCTCCTCACATCTCTACTGCATGGAAGTGACAGCTGAGCCGAAGAGACCCTGAGGGACAATGCGCTCTCTCCTGAAGAACCATCAGGCCCATGGCTCTTCCTGTAGCTTGTATGGCCACTTCATGGAGACGAAGGACGTGGTCGGTTAGAACGCAAATTTCTTCCCACAAGGAGGTATCTGTGGTATCTTAGGGGCTCTCACTGACAGAGCCTTGTAGCACTTATCAGTGAGGCTAGACTGGAAGTGGTCTGTCTTTGAGGGGAGAGACGGATCTGAGGAAGAGGGGAGAGCCTCTGGATTAAGGTGGGTCTATGTCTGGGCTCTATCGGGAGCATCTGGCCCCTCACAGTCCAACAGGGAGACTCCCATGATGGGATGATTCCCGCTGTAGGGCTTATCTTAGCTCCGGGAAGATAGGCAGCTTCCACATCTTCACTTTCAGAAGTTTCATGCTGTCAAACCCGAGATTTCACAACCTCTGTTCGGACTGCGGGACACAGGATGCTGAGCCTGGTGGCTGCACGGTTGCACATGTCCTGCATGTCGAGATCCAGTGAAGACGACAGGGAGGGTTTGTTACGTGCCTCAGCAGTGGAGGGCTTTGAAGCCCGGCAAGAGTTAGCCAGGAAGATGGACTCCTCCTCTTCCAGACAACAGGCGCTCAGAGTCAACTGACTCCGACCCACAATCTCTGAAGCCAAAACCCTTGCATCCCTCGTCTGTCTCTTGAGTATGTAGCCATGGTTAACTAGTGTGCTGCAGACCCTAGCGGGGGTGAATTCGCTAAAAAGCTTGATTGCATGCAGCTACTGGGTGGAAAAAAGGAGGGGGTCCCATCCCCCTTCTGACATAGATGTCACTGGTGCCACCCAATTAGGGCTGGTGTAATGTTATTTGAGATTCTGACGAGGTCACGCAGGAGGCACAAAACAAATGCTATGAAAGAGAACCACGTTTGTTTTAAATATTTAAATATTTTCAAATATCTCATTTTATTGGTTGTATTTTTATAGAAAAGCTAAGGAAGTATGTAACGGTCAGATCTTTGCTGATCAGTGTCTCAGATCAGAACTTCATCCAGGTGGAAACTTGTAATTACAGGTTGACAAAATGTAGGAAATTCTTACCTGAACCTGACATTCTGATTAGGCTGTTTGAGTGAAAATAAGTTAACCAGAAAAGTAAATTACATCATTTTCATTCAAAATAACTTATAAGTCTTAAGAGCATCTAAAAGTGGATGTTTCAAGTATGTCCTTTCAAGTATCACAGAACAAAGGTGTTTGTGTTTGCAGGTGAACGCCCTGGACACGCTGGGTCAGACAGCTTTGCACCGCGCCGCACTGGCAGGCCACCTCCAGACCTGCAGGCTGTTGCTAGGATACGGGGCAGACGCCTCGCTGGTGTCACTGCAGGGCTTCACTGCTGCTCAAATGGGAAATGAAGCTGTTCAGCAAATACTTAACGGTAAGCCACCCTTTGTGTGTATGTGTGGGTGGCTGGGTGTGCAGATGTGTAGGTGCAGTGTTTTGGTTGCTATGCACTAGCTAGCAACAGTGGGATCAACGGAAAATGTTTTTAAAAGGTCAGTATTGATAGTTTTTAGACTGAAGGTGCAGATTCAACCAGCCAATCAACAAACAACCCAGTATCTTTAACTGGTCTCATACTGTGGCAAACATTGTTACATTTATTGCGTTTGAGACAAATGTGATAATCTATCAAATGACGTGTGAAGACTTGAATGAATAAATAAAAAGGAAAACAGCCTAGCCGAGCTCTCTCCAAAGGTAACAAAATTAAAATCCACCTACCAGCACTGGCAAAACTTACTAATTAACATCTCATTTGTTTAAATTGTAAAAAAAAAAAAAAAAAAGTTTAAAAAGAACTGTGAGGTTACCAGCTGAAACTCTAAGACGTTACTTCTGATACATAACCCCCTGGAAAACCACAATGTGTCCGTTTTTGCACGGATTAGAGAAGATATATAATGTGTTAATTAGTGTGCGATTTAGAGGTGTTGAATTATTTATTTTTTATTTTTTCATCCTTTCACCATTCAGGCTAGCTGCTTTCCCCTCCTCCTAGTCTGAGCTAAGCTAACTGGCTGCTGTCTGTAGCTTCATATAACAAGAAAGGAAGTGAACAATATGTTTTTCTGATGCCAAACACAGCATTGTAATCATCAAGAGCAAAATTCTCTCCCAAAGAAAGAGTGGTCTCAAAGATTCATTAGTCAGTTGTACGTTCGTTGTACGTGGAGTGACAGGAAGAGGATGAATCATTCTCTTCTGTCCGTTATTATCAAGGTGAAAATCAACAGCGATGATTGTAGAAATTTGCTAATTTAACAACATTTTTAACAGAAAATTTAGTTTTGTAAGTTGTTTGACATTTTCTGATGCAAGATGCCTGCCCTTTAAGTTGTCCACAAACTGACATGTATGTGTGTAAAGTGAACTGAAAGTACTCTGTACCACTGCTCTAGCTCTGTGGTACAACCCATGCAGCCGTGGCATCCTGTGTGACTTTTGTCTAATATCATCTCATTTTGCTTTTACAAGTGTTTTTCTAAGCCTTGTTTCATCTATGTTCTCCTGTGTGTTCTGCTCTGTAGAGAACGTACCGGTGAGAAACTCAGATGTGGACTACAGACTTCTGGAAGCTGCTAAAGCCGGAGACCTGGACACTGTCAAGGTAGTTTGGTTGTCATTTGTCACCCCGATCTTTTTTTTTTTTTTTTATATAGATGACACTCTTTTTTCAGTCATTGTGGTAAATATGTCCTGCAGATGCACTGCCTAGAAAGTGTGCAAATGAAACATTGGGATACAGTATATATGGTGTCTCTCTACGTTCAGACCAACAACATAACAAATGCTTTATGTCTGAGTGCAATGCAAGGGTTTAACAATTAAAAATAATCAATTTGCTTTCATTGAGGCAGACAACACCCGAAAAGTAGTGGGTGGTAAAGAGTTAAATGAGAGAAAAGAGACAATTCATTTTCCTCAAAACAGTCAACATTGCCCTCATGTGAAAAATGGAAATGGACATGGAAAAAAGAACATGACCTCAGTATCCTTGGTATGTGTAATGACACCAGTCGTGGGGAATAATATGCTCTGGGGGAGCAGAAATCTTTTTTAATTGCCTCATTATGATTTGGAAATAATGTGGGATCCTGTCCAGAAAAATGTGTGAAACTTGACCAGCTGCTGAATTTTATAAACCTTAAAAATGCTCAAACACCCAAAACCATGAGAAGTATGTTACTTTACTCTCCTTAAATCTATAAAAAAAAAAAAAACCTAATTGTTTAACTAGTAATGAAAGACTTTCATTAATTACGAAGATGGGCTAAAAACTAATTATGATAATTATAATGTAAATTTGACAGCGACTCATTGAAATTTTGGCACAGATAATCTTGTCCGCCAACAGAGGCTCTTTATTTTTAAATGAAAATAGAACAAAATGTTCTGACCTTTGAGGTTGTTCTTGTTGCTCTTATGGAGTCCTGGTTGGAGTGATTTTTGTTAAATGTCAGGTGGATATCAAATGTTTTCTGCTCATGTCTTTGTATTGTTGTCCACATTGATTCCAGTAAAACTGCAATGCTTTCTTGTTGTTAAAGGCCAGATTTCCCATCTCATAAGATTTTCCACCATAACAGTTCAGTATAATCACAATCATTGTCTGTAGCCCAGTATGCCGCTACTGTTAGCAGTTTGATTTGCACTGGGCCCACTCGTGTTAAAAATGTAGGCGCTCATGATGCACTGTAATATGCCTCGGATAAAACCACCCACCAAATGTCAGGACCTGGTGAGATACGCTAAAGTATGTGACAGAAGTATTTGGTGTAGAGTGGAAATCTGCGTCTTTACCCACAGAGGCAGACAGTAATGGGGTTATCCAGATGAAGAGGGTCTGTCATCCTCTGAAGTGTGATGCTTTGGCAGGTTGGCAGGGGATCGTAGCAGAACAGACGATGATCTCCGGTCTGGCTTTCTGTCAGTTTTTTTTTACCTGACACACACACACACACACACACGGACTAGGGTTAACAGTATGCCGGAGCTACTGATTGACGTTTTAAGAAAAATAACACTGTTCCTGAACTGATTCCTGCCATCTGTTTAAATGTTGAGATGATCACCCCAGACGGCAGGTAAAAAAAAAGACGGGTTGTGTCATTCAGGAGCATTTACATCATTCAAAGCGGTAAATATCATTATAAATGATGTTCTCTGTTATTTATTGCTCCACATTACAGAAACTACAGCTACATGTACGAAGAAAGACATTTCTTTGAGACATAGCAGCTATAATAATGTATCAAATGACAATATGAACGGGGTCCTCGTATTGACCTTTTGTAGTGAGTGAGTTTCAGTTCATTGTTCGGCTCACAACTGTTTTGGTTCATTCTCAGCGCTCACATAGCATCGCTTTGTGCTGCAGCCTGCAGCTTTTTTCAGAGAAGAAGCTCAATAAAGCAGCTGTTTAGCAACTATGTGAATTGCAGACCCCAGCATGTTGTCTTTATCTAATGCACCATTTAAATAAGGTTCACCCTTCAATGTAGGCAACCTTTTGGGGACTGAAATAAATAGAGCTGGGAATCTTTTGATATAAAGTTTTGCTGTAGAAATTAATTTCTCTTTTTGGAGTTGCAATTAAAGTTAATTATCATTGAATAATCAGGCAATTATCTTCTCGATTAATTAATCAATCGTTTTGTCTATAAAATGTCCGGAAAAGTGTGAAAATATATCATTCCCCACAGCCCAGTGTGAAGTCTTCCTATGTTTTGTTTTGTCCGAACAACAGGCCAAAAGATGGTCAGTTTGCTGTCATATATAACAAAGAAAATAATGAAATCCTCACTTTAGTTTGACACCCTTGCTTTAAGAATTTATTAAAACAATAATTTGATTTAATAGTTCCAGATTCAATTTTTGTCAGAAATGTATCGACTAAACGTTGCAGCTCTACATTGATTATTACTGATATTGCTGCTATATGTAGAGTCCTCTTTACTCTTGTACATTTATATATTTAGATTGTGAAATGGAAAAAACCCAGTTGGACACTGTGTACTTGTCATGTCAGCGAGCATGATTGCAGAACGTGTCTCATTATAGTGATAGAAATATCTTTGTAACAGCCTCAAAAAGAAGAAGTTGATCTATAAATGACCCCATGTCATCGTACCCACACCAGCACGTCTCCACATACCTACCAATGTTCGAAACCTGATGTCTACAACAAAACTAAAAACTAATCACATCATTTTAATTGTATGCAGAACTCATATTACACTCGCCCTGGTGCAGATTACACAGCCTTAATAAACAGAAGCCACACTGCAGTTTAAGTGTGGAATAATAGAGAATAAGTCTGCCAGCGGGATGTTTCATTTAATTTCCTCTTGAACAACATCCTAGAAAGTGGTGGAAGTAAACTTTAAAATAAATGTCCTACTGTGTCTCCTCTTACTTCTGAGCTAAGGGTGTAATTGGGTCTGAAATTACAGAAAAGTAGCGTTGATATTCTCTGTGAACAGCAGGGCAGCAGGTCTCTGCCTCAGTTCAGCAGACATGCGTTTTTTTCCTCAACTTCAGTTAATAACTTCAGTATTTTTGTTGCTGTTGGTCCATAAATGCCTTTTCTTTCCGCCTATTTCATTTCACTGATATATTTTTCATCATAAATAATAAGCGTGGGCGGAGGAACGGTGTTACTATTTTCTCTTTCTTTGTTTCTCTAGCTGTCTCCGAAGCACTGTTGGTCTTGTTTGATGTTGGTTTCGGTTTGTTGGTTGTGTTTTTTAGGGAATAAAAATCATGACGTAAACGTTTGAGTCTGGATGGTATATCAGGATGAGACATCACCTCTTTACAAGATGTTTCCTGTGGATATTTCTCCTTTTTTATTTACATTGGGAAAAGGGTTTACATTTATATTTTGTCAATTGCAGTCCACTTTATATCTAACGTCAACATGAGACAATGAGAACATGATTATGTTTTTATACGGTCAAGTTTCACACTTGTATGTCATAATGTTTACCATGTTCACTATCTTATTGTAGTGTGTAAGCATGCTGAATAGCACTAAACACAAAGTCCACCTGAGGAGGCAAACATACCTCTGAATAGTATATTCCATTCCTGCCAATAGATCCTCCTAAATGTTACACTCCGGGTCTTTAATGGCAATCCATCAAAACGTTGAGATATTTCAATCTGGCCTAGCCATAACATAATGTTTTTAGGTAAATTTTAAGTAATTAACATGATGAAAAATGGCACAGAAATGTAGAGACTAAACCTGCTAACTGAACTAAATATTCAAGGCAGATCAGATAAATGTTCCCTGTTCATATTTGTATGTAAATTATATTAGATTTCCCCCATTTATCAGAGAAAAAATATGTTTTGTGATCTAAACTTTGAATCACATCTTTCTCCCAAAGAACTTTCTCTTTTTAGAGCGAAATAATAAAAAGGATAATTAAAATAAATCTTGATTACAATTACTACACGATTGGTTATGCAGCCATAGAGAATAGATTTATTTCTGCATTGCTCTTTGGTAGATCAGCTCTTTAATTTGAAATTCATTTTAATCTTCCCTCTTTGTCTTCTTCTCTGTCTTTCTCCAGTCATTGTGTACGGCTCAGAATGTGAATTGTAGAGACCTGGAGGGACGACACTCCACTCCCCTTCACTTTGCTGCTGGCTACAACAGAGTGTCGGTGGTAGAGTACCTGCTGCACCACGGAGCCGACGTGCACGCCAAGGACAAAGGGTGTGATACTTAAGTTGTGGTTTACATAAAAATAAACATTTACATAATAAATTAGAAAGTCATCTGCAAGTTATGGAAGATATTAATATAATTCTGTGTGTTTGTATAACTGCTGTTTTCCCTTTACAGTGGTCTGGTCCCCCTCCATAACGCCTGTTCATACGGTCACTACGAGGTGGCCGAGCTGCTGGTCAGACACGGAGCCTCGGTCAATGTGGCTGACTTGTGGAAGTTCACGCCGCTCCACGAAGCTGCTGCCAAGGGCAAATACGAGATCTGCAAACTGCTGCTCAAGGTTAGACCTGCATTTTCATCTCCTTACACCTAACTAACTTTCATACCACCGGAGTGTATAAATTCATGCATGGGCAGAGTCGTAGCAATCAACTCAATAAAACTCAGGGGTCGTCACTGCCAGGAAAATCAGTCTAGCGCTGCAAACTCTTAATAAACATACATTTGTCTTATCGTTCTAGATCAAAGTTGATTGAAGGACATGAGGATAGGGCTGGCCGATATATAGCTGAAGAATCCCAATAAAATGTTGTTGTTTTTTGTCATTGAACAATTTTCTTGTTGTTATAGATGAAGAGTCTATTGCCAATACATATAGCTATTGTTTTATTGCCCAGGCCTAGAGAAGGGTATCACCTCCACCTTCATGTGGTGGACATCTTATTACATGGACATGGATGTGGACATTTTATTGATTAAACATTGAATCAGTAAGGAAAATAATCGCCCCTTATAATTTCTCCATTTAAAGAAGCAGTTTCTAAATCACAGTGAGCAAGTACCACATGTTTTTCCTCTGTTGTCTCTTTAGTTCCCTTTGGTATACACTAAGAAATTGCACTCATAGCATTTGCAAACATTAGCATGCCATTTGCAGTTAACATACAGGATGCTTCTGAGTGTGTTGAAGTCTGCATTTTTCAAACATTTAAATACTCCTGTTTTCTTGGTGCAGCTTTAACGCTCTTTAAAAAATACGCTTTATCCTCTTCTGCATACTGCTTCAGAGGACAGCATTCACCAGATATGACTGAGTCTCAGTGAAAGTCTGTTCTGTCATTTTATGCAAAAGCTGCTGACACAATATCATCTGTTACTAATGCAATAAATGACATCTGGCCCCCTGTGAATATTTCGTTTTACTCAGCATGTACAAATCAACAGTATGGATTTTGAAATAACAGTCATCAAAGACCTTTAATTGGCACGTCAGAAGCAAGTATTTGCTAAAAGGTGTGACTTGTCATGCTCTCTGGGAATTTTCAGCCCAGTCGGGATCAAATCTGACCAATCCGACGACAAGGCTGAAAATACTGTGTTACTGTGATACTTGATTGTCACGTCTTGCCAAAATGAGTCCTGTGAAATGTTGCAGGTTCACAGCTGAATGTGTTTTTGTTTTTCCTATCATAATCACCTCCAGACAAGGCTCCGTCACCGCTGTGTTGTTGCCATATGGGGCTGCATAAATTATTATTATATCAACACTGCTGAATTCACACACATAAATACCCACAGCGAAGCAAACACGCATCAGCTGCGGGGAAAATGTGCTGCTTCAAGATTGTTATTTATAATAATAATTCCTTTACTGTCATTGTATCAGCCTTTAAGAAAATAAAACAACTTAAATACTTAAAAAACTAAAACAGAATGTAATAAAAGACTACAATACTACAAAATAAAGTTTGTACAAGGATGAGACAGGTAAAAGCTATTGTGTATTTTTTAATTAAATATTGCAGTAACAGTGTTGTGTGAACAGTCATGTGATGCAGAACAGCATCAGTGAGGTAGTGCAACCAGAGAACTTATTGTGAGATTGAGAAGAAGTTCAGGCTGACAAACTAGTAACAAAGAAAGTGCTGCACACAACAGTTCACAGCAGCAATCACTAATCACTTTGAGGCTAACTTCATTTGAGCAGTGCTGCTGGTAGCAAAGTAAAAGTGGGATGCTTCAGTGAGTGCATGGGTGTGGTGTACGGTGCAGTGGAGCTGCTGGGATGATGATGGTTGAGGGGAGTGGCATTGGGCAGTAAGGGGGGCAGTGTGATGGAAGGTGACGGCTCTCTGGAAAAAAGAAGTTGTGCTCTGGCTTGTGTGGGCTGATTCCTTACAAATGTTGAGCGATTTCCTGGAACCAGCATGCTGGATGATGCGATTCAGTGATTTGAAAGGAATCTATTTGACAACATTACAGACGACCATTAATTGTTGAAGTGTTTTCAATTTGCACATTAAAAGAAACTCAAGTAGAAATTTGAGCCGGATTTGCTAAAAAAATGTAATGCAAGGCTGAGGTGGAGAATTTGATAAAAACAATATGCAACAAATAAATCATGACTAAAAACTGCAGTAGCTGAAAACATCAGACCTGTGTGGAGCAATGTGGGACTTTAAATAAGTCATAAATGTCATATTTCCATCACATTTTCCACATGGTTTTCCACTGCTTGAGGTTTCACTACAGCTCTTTTCTCATTATGTCATCTTAATGCGCCCTCTTCTTCTGCAGTGGCTTAATGGCACCTGACTGGAGAATTAGTTCCACCACCAACTGTTTATCTTGATGTGCCCAAATCGTAATATTCACATAACAGCAGTGGATGGAAATGCAAATGCACATTTGGAAGGAAACCTGACTATTATTAATTAAATATCTTTGGGTTTTGAACTGTTGGTGGCAAAAAAAAGGAACCAAAAGAAGATGTCACCTCTGACTCTGGGAAATTTTAATGAGCAAAGGTGTTAATTGTTAATATTCAGATTAATCTATAATGAAAATAATCATCAGTAGCAGCCCTACAGTGGCTGTCTGACTGCAGTCATCCAATTGTCAGCTGTATGTATGTCAGCATAGATTCCGTGGAGTTCATAAGCATCCGTTGGGGAGATGGTGCTTGCTTTATTCTCCTCAAGTAAAGTCTTTGTGCTTCTTTTAACCCTTTTGCCTGCAGGCATGTGTAAATAGTGAGGACTCAATACTCAGCCATGTGGTGCGCTAGTGTTTAGGGTCATCAAGCCTGACATTCTGTGGTCTGGTGGTACACAGTAGAGCTTTGAGGCCCAAATTATGGAGTCGTTCCTTTAATTTGACTTTGACCTCCAACAGTGAGATGTTTCCCAATGCTCACGGAGACCGGTGCTACTGTAGCTTATCATTGCAGTACTTCAGGAACACCCTCTGCCTCAGCAGCTTTGTTCGCGTTCATCCAACGTAAGGCTCGCTTAACTTAGTGGGAGTTTATTACAAGCGATTGTTCATCCTCGTCTTTGTTGTTGTTTTTTTTGTTTGGTTCAGCGTATCTGGGCGGCTGTCAGGAGCTTTATCATTACATATGCAGCAGGAGGCTAAACATATTCCTCAGCGTCAGTGTGTAAGCCTGGTGTAGCCTCGTGTGCAGATAATTCCCAGTCAGTGCTCTCCAAACAGTCCTGGAGTTCAGAGATACAGCAGCTCCCTCAGGCCACACTTTCAGTAAGAGGTCTGGAGGCAGAGGTTGGAAACGCAGACAGATGATCGATTGTTCAAGGTGGTGGGAAGGTTTGGCATTTTTCCACTCTGGTTGGAAAAGCCTCACACCCGCGAATTTCAGTTGAATTTTTAAGCTTGTGTTTGTGATTCCTGTGTACACATAGCAGCGCCCTCATTTCCCCTTTAACACACACACACACACACACACACACACACACATGCACACAAGTAACAGAGTGTTCCCACACTTTGGTGTTAATCTGCCATGGCCTCGGGATGTAACTGTTCTCTCTTACTGAATAAACTATTCCACAGTTCAGCAGTAGCTTTTCCTTTGTCTACTCTGTTTGTTGTCAACTTTCTATTGTCCTTTTTTTCTGTTGGATTTGTGCTTCGAATGAAAACTCTACTGCATTTGCCCCCAGTACTGTGATATTCTGCAGGCATCTTGTGAGACATACAAAACGCATATTAGCATATTCTTTGTTAGGAAAGGAAAGAAGTGCAAGAACATAATGAATTCCTCCTCATTTACTGAAGAAGTGTCTTGTTAGCACTTGGCATGAAATGTGTGAACTCCAATGACTTATGATCTTGGCTGGATGTGTTGTCATCTCGCAAGAGACCAACTGTCAGCCAAGCCGTGAGACCTCTTCTTGTTTGCGGTTTCTGTTGATGTAGGTGTCTTTCTCTCATTTGTTCATTCGTTGGGGTCGTCACTGTTCACAATAAATACCCAGCTCTGCTTGTGTTTGTAGACATGCAAGTGGCGTATCTTTGGTCAGTCCACCATTGAAGTCCAGTCTGACATATCTCTACTGGGTGGATTGCTGTGACATTTGGTACAGATATCTGTGGTACCCAGATGATGAAATAGTGAAATATCTCAACATATATTGGAAGAAGTTCAATGAAATTTGGTTCAGACATTACATTTTTCCCTCAAGATAATTTTTTATAACTTTAGTGGTCTTTTCATCTAGGGCCACCATCAGATCAAACTTTCAATTTCATCAATACTTTGATGACTAAATACCTGCAAAACTAATGATATTCCCATCAGCCTCAGCTGTACTTTGGGTTTAGTGCTAACCATCATATGTTAGCATGCTAACATGCTGAACTAAGATGGTGAACATGTAAGGTAAACATTACACCTACTTAAAATCTGCATGTTATTGCCTTGTCATTGTCAGCTTTACAGAGCCGTTAGATGGCTATCGCTGTTAGATACATTACTTCCTATGAGCTAGATACTTGTTTAGAGAGAGTTTATAGGTTCTGTAAATGAAACATTTTTCATGAACAGAGTGCAGTCTGAATCCACCGGAAGAGTAACAAAACCGACATTTACTTCTATGTAAATGTCCTCAATTATTGCTTTAAATGGATCTCTATTCAAATTTTCCTGGATAGAGAATAAATTACAGTGGGAATGTGATTACATCAGCAGCAAAGAGATAATAGAAATGAAGAAGTAGAGCAGAAAAACCCTAACACAGATCGGTTCAAAAAAAACTTAAAAAAAAAAAGGGAAAACAGCCATGAGCGATGTATAACGGACAGTTTCAGGCCAGCAGTGGATACCCAGGGGAGTGGTCCCACTACATCAAATTTTAATGAGCGGATTTCAAAACTAACAATGAAATCACAAGTTAAACCGTAACCTAGGAGACAGTAGAATGATGAAAATGTCTGTCGTCCCCCCCCATCTCCAGGGTATGAGTTGTTTTCCACTTCACTAGATGTCCTGTCCTCACCTCTCTACCTCCTTTCGTCTCTCCCCCTCTTCTTCTCTCTGGTGAATTACCTTCATCCACTTCTCACTCGTCACTTGTCAGTGTCTCTTCCTCATCTGAGTGAAACGTTACCACTGGGGTTTAAACGATAAGGGATTGTCAGGACTGATGTTTTGTAGGATAGCTGATATTTTGTATATATTAGTCTTTAAATGTAGTCTTTGCTAAGAGACTAAATTGTCCTCTGCATTTTAATTACAAACACTGTCTACATCATAGACGTTAGTGTGCGTGGACACAGGGCGGATAAACATTTCTTTCTTCCTCATCTTTCTTTCCTTTACACTGAACGCTTCCATTTTGGCCTCCCCTCTCCAGCACGGAGCGGACCCCACCAAGAAGAACCGAGATGGGAACACGCCTCTGGACCTGGTAAAGGACGGGGACACCGACATCCAGGACCTGCTGAGAGGAGACGCCGCACTGCTGGACGCCGCTAAGAAAGGCTGCCTGGCCAGGGTGCAGAAGTTATGTAGCCCCGACAACATCAACTGTCGGGACACGCAGGGACGCAACTCGACACCTCTGCACCTTGCAGGTAACGTGCATGTAGAAACACCAAACAAAAAGCTGCACACAGAGACACACATTCACAGGTCATTTTGAGAAGTAAACACCTCCCTAAATTGAGTAAAGCTCATTTTGCAGACACATTAAAATGAAAGATAAAGCCAGACGCTTTTAGTTACTATTTGGCTGAAGTTTGCAGGATTTAAGCGACTTTAGACATGGTATTCTTGCTGGTGCCAATCACTCTGGCGGCAGTATCTCAGAAACAGCCGACCTCCTGGGATTTTGGCTCAGTGCAGTGCCAAGAACAAGGCAATAAACACATCCCGACAGCTAAAGTCTTGAGGGCAAAAACACTTTGTTCATAGACAGGCGGGGACAACGTAGCAATTTATCAATGATTCTTTAACACATTTTCGATCACAGTAATCATTGAGCAGGTTTACCACGCTCTCAGGTGGCTGGTCTGAAAAGAAAATTGGTTCTCTTATATCAATATTTAAGTAACACATTTTTACATGGATACATTTAATGATAAATAAACTGTATTTATATATAACTTTTCTGAACACAGTTTTACAGTAACAACAACAAAGGAAAAGAGATAAACAATAAACTTTATTGAAATGGAATTAATAGCAGTAAAATCAGTAAGGGTAGACACAGCAAAAAAGGCTGGTAAAATAAGATTTGGGGGAACAGACCCGTGCCTCAACATCTCGGGCTGTGTTAACTGGGAGTCTGACCACGCTGCGCCTTAAAAGTTATCGGCAGGATGTTTAAGTCATTTTAAAATGCACCGGTAGCCTAATGTGTTTTCATCTCCTGGTAATTGTTAAGAACTGGGCAGCAGCCTTTTGGATGAGCTGGAAACAGGCAGCTAATGTATGACCCGAGGAAAGGGAATCACAGTAGTCAAATATCACTCCCAAACTGCATGCACTGTCCTTTCTTTTGAATGATAGATGTGACTAGACAGGAATTGTAAAAGACGGTGTGCCAAATAAAAGGATCTACAATTTAGATAAGTTAAAATGTTTCGTGCCGCCCGGCTCTTATCTCTACATTTTTAAAGAAAAGATTTGACATTTTGGGAAAACGCGATTTCTTCTAGTTGCACATGTTCAGTCCTATTATCTAAAGGCCTTGTTTCTGCCTGCGCATAGGATGTGAGCATGGATTTGCCTGTTAAAACAAATACTGTTTTCAATTGAAGGTCCAGTGTGTACATTTAGGCAGATCTATTTGCAGAAATTGAATATACATAGGTATGTTTTCATAATCGCCTGAGAATAAATGTTGAATATTGTCACAGTTGAATATTATTAAACAATATAAAACTAGTACCTATGGTGTACTGTAATGACCTTGGATCTTCTACAATTTTAAATTTTTTAATTCCTGATAGCAGAAATACTGTGGGCCCTCAAAGGTACACACATACACATACACATACACGTGTATTTATTCAGGATCTGTAATCACGATAATATCAGCCTCAGAGAAAACAAGAGAGATATACACCATTCTGCTAGAGACCCTTTCAGGCATAAACAAACTCTCAAACTACATGAGATTTTTCCTGTAGTGTTTCTCCATATAATGCTCTGGTGGGGAAATTGACATGTCTTTGTCTTCTTATGTGTCTTTTTGGAGTCTGTATTTATAGAGAGTCACAACTAGACTAGCTTAGATAAAGTGTATTAATTAATTAGAAAATGTTTCGCAGCATGACTAGTACTTTTAAAGTTAAGAAAGTGTTGAAAAACACTTTGAAGGTCTGTGATTTTTCATAGATCTGACCACTTAGACACACACCCACGCACCCTCTGCCTTCGTGCACTTGCTTGTGAAAGAAAAAGATGATTATACGCTGTCATGCTGCAGCTGATGTAGGCTGACATGTCTCTCTGTCTTTCTCTCTTTATTTCCTCCTCTCTGATTACCTGACTACATTTTTGTTTCTCCTCTTTTTCTCCATTTATCTCTCATTCCTCGTCTTCCTCCCCCCCCCACCCCCACACCCTCACCAGCCGGCTATAATAACTTGGAGGTAGCAGAGTATCTGTTGGAACATGGAGCCGATGTGAATGCGCAGGACAAAGGAGGGCTGATACCTTTACACAATGCTGCTTCATACGGGGTAAGACACACACGCACACACACACACACAGGCTTCACTCACACTGGAGATTAACTATCTGTTCATATAAATCATATATATTTTAGGATGGAACTATCCAATAAATGTATGAACTCTTCAACTTACTGCTGAGACAATCATTTGAATAAGCTCCTTCTTGGTCGACTCACAATTAATCAAGAGCAATTTTGATAGCGCAAATACCAAATATCTGCTGGTTCCAGCGGCTAAAATTCAGATTGTGTGTTTCTCTCTGTAAATTATACACTGAATTGTATCATTTTAGTATGTGGTAAATGTAGTTTTGGGACTATTTGTCAGACAAAACAAACATTTTGACCACCTTGGGAATGTGATGGCCTTTATTCACAATTTCGTGGCATGTTATGGACTAACTGTATAATTAGAAAGAGAATGGAGAGATTCAATTATTGGACTATTTGATTTCCTTTCCATTCTTTTGTCTCGTTGCTGTCCATGCTAACGCTGCTAATTGTGCCTCATTTGTCTCAGGTGAATGTCATGAAGTATGCTAACTGTTTATGTGACATTTAGAAATTCTTATTGGAGGAATTAAATCCATCTCACATGTGGGATTCATACTGCAGAATACTTTACATTGTATTTGTGATATGTAACAGTGTTGTCTCTATTTAAATTATTATTATGGTCATAATAATCATCATTATTACACTTAGATTGTCTGAAGAAGTGCATTCATGTGGTTTTCCAATCATGTGGAGTTGTTGGTTGTCCCTCAGTCACATTTTCCTTATAGCTCCACAGCACTCTGGTACTGAAAGAGTCATGAAACACATGTCTGAATGAAAATTTGATGAGCTCTGTGTTTTAGAGACACACATACACACGCACTCACCGTTATCCCCCCCACCGGTGCTCAGAAACAAGCTACATTGTGTTTGACGCTAAGACGAGCTGCAGACAGACGATGAGGGAAAAGAACAGGAAAAGACGGAAAGGAAGGACCGGCGGGAAAACAAGAATCATGATGGAGTTAATAATTCACACAATTTCTGTTCAAGAGCATCCCACATATTACATTTTCTCTGATCACGATTTTTATAGCACTCATTCACCAGACTTCACACATTTGCTCTTGTGAAGAGCTTGTTATTGCTGTTGTCTCTTTTCCTCCTTCATTTCTAATCTCTCTTCTGTGCTCTCCTTTACATCTCTCCTCTTTTCCTCTGTTTTGCGCTCTCTACGTCCATCATCACCACCTCCTTCCTCTTCTTCACCTCTACCTCCTCTCCACTGTCTAGCACGTGGACATAGCCGCCCTGCTGATCAAGTACAACACGTGCGTCAACGCCACGGACAAGTGGGCATTTACTCCCCTCCATGAAGCAGCCCAGAAGGGGCGGACTCAGCTCTGTGCTCTGCTATTGGCCCATGGAGCCGATCCCACCATGAAGAACCAGGAGGGACAGACGCCGCTGGACTTGGCAACGGTGCGAATGGCTTTCTTAGAAATGTTTCACAGTATGAGTCCTCAACGCGTGTTATGAGTCAGCGCGTGGCAGTGTCTTTAACTTCAGCTGTTTGGCTTGTTATGGATAATTATTCAGACAGTGGAGCACCCTGAAAAGAGTTTGCAGAAATTTGGATGGCGGAACAGGTAGCTTCCTTGTACCCTAATGAGGATTCCTAATAAGCCTCCTAATAGGGCTTCTTGTTTGACTGTAGGTACCAGAGTTTGAGAGAATAACATGTCCCTGCAGCTCTTGATGCTGCTTACATTAGACCCCAGTTCTGCTACAGATTAGAGATTAGAACAAAAAATATGCTGGTAGTTTGGTTTGCGTGTTGACTATGAGAATAAGCCATGTTTTTAAATACAGTAGTATGCAATGAATACTGTACAATCAGGTTATTTATTGACTATCAAACTGAGCCTCAATTGAGCACTGAATAACAACCTGGATAATCCATCTGCAGCCGGAAAATGTTAAATGTGTGTTATTTAGACTCTCAGATAACTTTTCAAACCACCATTCACTAAGTGGATATGTTTTGTTGTTGTTCTTGGCTGTTATTTCAAGGGATTGTGCCAAACTTTTGACAGACAGGAAAGAAATTCTTTCATTTAACTGAATCAATAAGAAACAAAACTCACCAGGGATTTTGCTGCTACAGCCTAGCAGTGGTCTGGTGTGACCGGTATTTTATGGTGGCTGATGTTAGCAAACTTTAGATAGATATTGCTATATAACAAACATTACTGTGTCTCACTTTATGACTCATATCCACTTGTGCTAATGTCTCAATAGCTTAGCATTTTAGCCAAATGCTAAAAAAAAAAAAAAAAGTAAGTTAATGTTCAGTAAATGTTACATAGTCTGGCTTTAGTTATTCTTATGTGTCATAATTGAATAGTCATCAAACATGAAATGTGATTTTTTTTTTTTTTTTTTTGCTTTGTGGTTTGATCGAATTTGTCTCTTGGGAGGAGAGCATGGTGGCTAGCAGGTTGGAAAAATAAAAGGAAACGACTATTTAAATCCCATTTAAGGGCTGTTGTCGAAATAAGTTTCCAGCAAATGTGGCAGGGGACTGGATTTATCCACTAAAGAAGAAAATAGTGGACATTTCAGTCAAAAATACATCAACAATATGTCCGTCTACATCTTGTCATTCTGTCTGTCTTCATGTCTGTTGCAGGCTGATGATATCAGAGCACTGTTGATTGACGCCATGCCGCCTGATGCCCTGCCTAGCTGTTTAAAACCCCAGGCCACTGTGGTGAGTGTCCACACACGCGTACGTACAAGTGCCGACAGAGGTCTTTCATCTGACACTGCATTGACTTACTGCAAGAAGAAACAGCTTATAACATATCTGGAAAAAGTCTCATGAATTGAGCTGAAGCACATTGAGTGTGAGAGTTGAAGTTGACACTTTAGCAAGTGAAATCAAAGCCCTGTAGGCAGTTGTCACTTTACATGTAAGCACTGAAAGCATTTTAACTGCGGAAGTGTAAGAGATGAAAGCAGCTGAAATGTCATGTGACTTATAAGCACTGAAAGCAGTTGAATCATCAGTTAAAGTGTAAGAGGTGAAAGTAGTTGAACTGTCATGTGAAAAGAAATGACAGAAATGTCAGTTGAACTGTAAATAATAAAAGCAGTTGAAAATAAAGTGTCTTCTATTCTCAGGTGAGCGCAAGTGTGGTGAGTACCGGTGCGGCAGGGGGTGTGGTCATCTCTCCTTCCCCATCCCCATCTTGCCTGTCTGCAGCCAGCAGCATAGACAACCTGACCACGCCCCTCAGTGACATCACCGTGGGCGGGGCCACTGGACCAGCAGACGGAGCGTCTGGGTCTGACAGGAAAGAAGGAGAAAGTACGTACAAACATATCCTAAGTCAGGGGCTGGTGCGGCAGCCTGCGCGGGTGTCTTAGATGTTGTTGATGTAAACATGTGTAACCGCCGGGACATCACTGCTGACATCACTGTGTCTCTGCAGCTCTGCTCGACATGACCATCAACCAGTTCTTGAAGAGTCTAGGGCTGGAACACCTCCGAGACATCTTCCAGCGGGAACAGGTATTCAAACACATTCTTTTTTTATGTGTCTGGGAGAAGACAAAAGATTGAGGGTACAGCAGTATATGTGAAGAACTGGAGAGGCTCATACAGTAGATACAGTGGGAGGGGGAGAGAGAGGTAAAGACAGACAAGTAAAGAGCTTCAAATTCCCAGTGAAATATACATTCCTGATATAAATAGTCTTTTTAGGTTTTGTGGTTTATTTCTCTCACATACGTACTAATTCAGTCTTGTTTTAAACTAATTTATTTAACCAGTTGTCTTTCCTTTTTTGTTCCATTTTACATCATTTTTAGCCATTCTAGTGGTGTCAACAACAGATGGATTGCCATAGATATTGGTTAAGACATCCACGTTCCCTTTAAGACCTTAACCTTTTATCTATGGTCATCAACATTTTAATTTGTCCAACACTTTTATGGCGTATTATAGCCAGGTTTATGGCTAAATACCTGCAAAACTAATGACATTCCCATCAGCCTCAACTATAATATGTGTTTAGTGCTAATTAGCAACTGTTGGCATGCTAACACACTAAACTAAGATGGTAATTGTTGGAAACGCACCTCAAAGAGCCAGTAGCTTGGCTGTAGACGGGCAGAAAGAGGTGGTGATGTAGACAGAGCAACAGAAACAGAAGAGGGACACAGATGGACAGAGTGAGAGAACATCGAAGAAAGAAAAAGAAAGGGGCTTGAGGAGAAAGATGGAGAAAATAGAAAGACAGAGAGAGACGAAGAGACAGATGGAGTGACAGAAAGAGGAGAAAGCAGACAAGGAGAGAGACCGAAATAGAAAGTGAAATTGAAAGGTGACAGCGGGCAAAAGGCTAAGCATAGAAGGCAATGTGGGAGCAATATGGAGGATATGTGTGTTTGTGTGTGTGTGTGTGTGTGTTACATTCTTGGTGCCCTAAAGGGAAACGAGCTGTCATTAATATTCAGATGAAGAGTGAGAGGGAGGTGAGAGTCAGCTGGGTGTTTAATGGAAAAATACAAGAAGAAAAGGAGTTCTGATTTTACATTAGTCCATTTAAGACATTTGATTATAAAACCATACTTTTGCTTGTGTATCAACTTTGTGCTGTGTGAATCTTCCGTCTGTTCCCTCTGTAAAGCTTCACTGCTCACTTATTTGTTGTTGTTGAAGAGGATTAGTAGAAAACCTTTGTCAACATAAAGTCTGACTAATGGTTTATGCAAAATATATGGGAATAATTATTATTTCTTTCTAGATTTAGCCATTTCTTGCAGACAACCTGCAATACATTTGCAAGATTGCAAGGAATTAGCAGAAATATTTTCATATTATCATTTACATCGATGACCTGGCCAAGAGGCAGCGACAGGAGGCGGGTCGATACAGCAATTAAAATAAAGATACAGCTAGTGCAAAAAATCCCAAACAATATTCGCCTCTTTGATGTAACATCTTAAAATGAATCGGGGGGGTTGTGGTGCCAAACATATTCCCAGTTTGTGTTTTTCTTCTTTCTGCTGGTGCCTGATTAAACTCCCAGCAGAGTATTTAGACTATGATGATTTACACCTGTAGCAGTGATCACAGCAACAGAGAAAAAAGTAGGTAAATGTTAGCGTTTGAAAAGCTGAGTTATCTCTGTCTCCAGCATGAATCTCAGCTTCGCTCTCCATCAACAAACTCACACACTTCACCATCACCAATTTGCATATGAATGGCTTGATTACTGCCATTCATTCATTGACCTTTTCTTCTTTCCGCTTCTGTCTTTCTCTCATGAATATTTGTCAGACCTATTGTCTCTCCAATATGTCTTAGATCATTGAACTCAGTGTGGAATGTTGTCACCATTAAACTGTAATGGGTTCTTGTGCGGAGATCTACAGTTAAATATAGTAGAACAACGTCTGATTTAGTTGACAGATGTATAATCAGAAGTATGGCTAGAGTAGGTCATATTGTGATCATAAAAGCAGATGCAACCATAAGCAAGACTGACAGGGTCTCTTTGCCGTTTCCGGGCAGATTTCGCTGGATGTGTTGGCAGACATGGGTCACGAGGAGCTGAAAGAGATCGGCATCAACGCCTACGGCCACAGACACAAACTCATCAAGGGCATCGAGAGGCTGCTGGGAGGCCAGCAAGGTCAGGAAACACAAAAAAACACACACACATACACGTTAGAGGGTATAAAACACTGTTTGTGTTGTACTTAATGAGATATAATCAACTTTTACAAGGTGGAGCTGAGAAGTGGAAGTAAAGTAAGAATTTATGTCTGATTTATTGTATTGAAATGCATATTTAATCTTAAATCAACAACGGAAATGTTAAAAGATATCATTTATGTGACTTGTGATTTTCTTCAACACAATCAAGCAACCTGATAACTAGGGTTGTGTTATCTAGTTAAACAGCTTCAGATCAGTTGAGAAACACTCAAATTGCTGATACATCAAACTCTTGGGTTATATTGGTGAATATGTCATTCATGAAAGAAATGGCAGACTAGGCCTTAAACCTAAAGTGTGTACATGCTTCTGTAACAAAGCCATCATGCAGACACAGTTGGTTTTACTGTGCTCAGAAACTGGATTAAATGACCTGTAGTCCAGATACCTGAAGGTCAGTGTCGTCATTTATTCTCTCCCTGATTCACTTTGCGTCTGTAGGTGGGAACCCGTACCTGACGTTCCACTGCTCCAGCCAGGGCACCGTGCTGATCGACCTGGCACCGGACGACAAGGAGTTCCAGTCTGTGGAGGAGGAAGTATGCAAATGCACCTTTACGCACACTCTAGTGATAGACACACTAGTGATAATCATTCAGCTGATTAATCGGGCTGATTATTTGGCATTTTCGAGATAATCTGCATCCGCCATTGAAAATCCCATATCAGTCGACCACTAACACACACATCTGACTACATTTACTCAGAAACACACAGAAACACTCGCTTAGGTTGATGGCAGTTATTATTTCACCTCACTGCACTGCATGCCTTTATAGCAGTTTGGTCAGATAATTTAATGATTTCTCTTGGTGGGTTTTTAATCAAGAATTTGAGCATGTCTGTCAGTAATTTTAGCCATCTGGCAAAGGACACAACACTCTAGACTCTCTTGTACTAGAGTCTCCCTATCAGTGTCTGCTCCACTGACTATATTTCTCTTGTAAATGAAGGCAGTAATACAAAGAGACAGCAGATATCAGTCTGAATGGGTTTAGAATTAATGAGGACCATCAGATGTTCACAGAAATTTAACAGGTCATTTAAACTGTAAATTTTACTTGAGAACTGGAAAAATGATTGACATGAGTTCTCTCGAGACTATTTCAAAGTTTGAATTGTTAATCGAGGTGGCAACGGGATATCACTTACACCTTTTTTCCTAAATATGAAAACACTCCCGGGCTGCTGAGGTTAAAAAATGACTCATCACCCCTCTAACGCTACAGCTGTCCAAAGAGCTGTATGAATCACACCATATGCTATTCACATTCACGTGATATATCGAAACTGCATTTCATTAGCACGTTTTACTCCACACTTTTCACGTTTTAACCTTCAAAAGCTTTGCACATGTGTGTAAGTTTTGACCTTCTGTCTGTTTATTTTCTCCTCAGCTGCAGAGCACGATCAGAGAGCACCGCGATGGAGGCAACGCAGGTGGAGTCTTCAGCCGGTACAACATTATTAAGGTGTGTAATCAACACACACACACACACACACACACACACACACACACACACACACACACAGACCAGTTTTCTCTCTTTATAATCACAAATAAGGACTTTATACTTAATTAACTTTTAGTTTTCAAATTTAAATATGGTGGCTTGTTTTGTAAATGCATTTTAATTAATTCAGAGCATGTTTAATACTTTTCTCCCTCTATTTCACTCTTCACCCCTCCCTCTGTCCCCCCCACTGCAGATTCAGAAGGTGGTGAATAAGAAGCTACGGGAAAGATACGCACACAGACAAAAAGAAATTGCAGACGAGAATCACAACCATCACAACGAGCGAATGCTCTTTCACGGTAATTTAACACACAACAGTTTGTGTTGCTCTACTTCCACATAATTTTCATTTCATTTTTCAATAATCATTTTCAAATGAGGTTTTACTCTAGGACAGAACCAGTAAGTTCCAGTTTAACTTCAGCTCTCTATAGTCGGTGTAACACCTGGTCTGTTAATATAGTTACATCATTGCCAGAAAGATATACTAGATGTTGGGAGGAAATGTGGTGGCAGAGCCAAAAACACAGGACATGCAATGCAATTGCATGATATTGTTGAGCTGTTGAAGGAGACTGTGTGTTGTAGGTGGTTTTGACTGTTAAAATACAAAACAGTGTGTTCAACCTGGTGACACTTTTCTTCTTCATTGCCATGAAGTTTTGATCACATCTCCCCTGTAGCCTCAGTCAAACGCAGCTCGGTCTTCAATCATTCGTGTGCTCTGAGATGAACTGCAATGTTTTCATTCTGACAGTAAGCTTGAATAAATCTCATTAATCTTCAATGTCCCCTTTTAAACCACAAGGCTAGGTCAGGACGCAACCCTCAGGACTGCAGCCGAGTTCTGTTTCTTTAAACGCTGTAGAGTAGAAAATCCCAGGAAGTTGTCTGGCTTCTGTGATGCCTGAAACAGTGCGCCTGGCACCAGCAATCATATTATGTTCAAAGTGTCTTAGATCATGGATTTCCCGAGATAACACTTACCGGTAGTCAAACACTATCTGGATCCATCTACATTGTCTGCATTCTTTATAATTTTGTGCTTTATTCATCTGTGATTCACTGCATGGGGAAGAGGGCTGTTTGTGCAGTTTAAAAAGGGGAGGTGTACTAATTGTAGCGGAAGGTGAATGTAGACTTAACATCAGAGACACTATGTTTTCATGATAACTCTTTCAATTATGATTGTTAGCTACTTCCATGTGGGGACTCTGCCGGTGGAGGCACCAGAAAAGGATATAATACTTTGTGTTTTGAAGCTAAAACAAACAAAGATGTGTTGGGGAGGTTTTCCAGGTTCCCATAAAGGAGACATAAAGGAAGTGTCTCTGTCCCCACACTAGTCCATTACATGTTTTTGCATTGCGATGTGTCCTGGCTCACTTTATTTAAATGTCTCCTGCCAGGTTCTCCCTTCATCAACGCCATCATCCATAAGGGCTTTGATGAGCGACATGCCTACATCGGTGGCATGTTCGGTGCCGGGATCTATTTTGCTGAGAACTCCTCCAAGAGCAACCAGTACGTGTACGGGATTGGTGGAGGCACAGGATGTCCCACCCACAAAGACCGCTCCTGCTACGTGTGCCACAGGTAAGACGTCTTATTAGTTAAGTGAAATGTATTGTAATGTAAGGAAAAGAGGAAGTCTCTCACAGCTGCAAAAACATTTAGCAAATGTTAGCTTCAGGGACATCTTAGAAAGCCAAAAAAAGAAATCTTTTGAAGTACATTTCGCTTTCTTTATTTACTTGACAGTGGTATTCCAAAGCCAATGCGTCTATCGGCATTCTATTATTTCCTGTCAGTAAACAACAATAAGTGAAGTCGACAGCACGCATTAACAAATAAGTATAAAAAAACTAAACTAAAGTATAAGACAAACACACAGCCCTAGGCTTTCCTCCGTGTTGCTGAGGAACACCTAGGGCTGGAACAGTTTTCCTCTGCTGCTGCTGCACAAGTAAAAGTATTATATACTCATTTGCGAGTGCTGACGACTTAATTTACTGTTTCACTTTTTGGGTCGGTCCTTTTGTTTGAGCAGTACAAAACAGTAAAGCACATTGATTTCCTGTTTACTATTTTCAAAAACAACACACTGTTAAAATTTCAATATACTATAATTATGTAGAATGGAGAATTTGATCGAATTGGATTTTGTATTAACTAGAATCTCCATTGTGTTATTGCAGGAAGCAAAATTAAACTTTACTCTAGGCAACAGTTTTATCAATTAAACAAATATTTGTGTGAGACATCTGGTACCAACTGTATATGTCCATTTATGTGACCGTACCGCTGACTGCATCATTCTTTGCTTTTGGGATTTCAGGCAGATGCTGTTCTGCAGAGTGACTCTGGGTAAGTCCTTTCTGCAGTTCAGCGCCATGAAAATGGCCCACGCCCCCCCCGGACATCACTCTGTTATAGGACGACCCAGCGTCAACGGGCTGGCGTATGCAGAGTACGTCATCTACAGAGGGGAGCAGGTGGGAAAGCGCGCGCGCACACACACACACACACACACACTGTTACATAATTATATGAAATAAGTAGAGTTGCACCAATTTTCTTTATCAGTTAGTCAGTCTGTGGATTTCTTGGGGGGAGTGGGTTTAAGTCATCACAGGGGTCTGCAACCTTTACAATCAAAAGAGACACTTCTGGCCAAAAAAGAATCTTTCCGGAGCTGCAAACCATATTTGATCCTTATAATATTCATTTCTCACCGCAGATCAAGCATACTGGTAAGCAAACAAATCTGCAGACGCACTACCCCCTGTTTTCCTTTTCTTTTTTTGGATTTGGAGTCTATAGCTAGCCTGGTTATGGACACTGCAAGTAAACTATGAGCAACCACTATTGAGATTTGGCAATGTATAGAGGAAATGGCGCCAGGTCATGACGTAATGTATGATTCACATTTTAGCTGAAAAAACATTAAAATCTTCTTTTTCTTTCAATCAGAATGTAATGGCTGGACATTTCTACAACTGGAGAATGTAATATTCACTTTAGGCCTACAACAATGATAAATGGAAACGTAAAAAAAGAACGGTTATTCATTTCCATATAGGTTTTTGTCAAAGCCACTGGAGAGGAGCCGCAGGTTTCCGACCCCTCATTTATCATTTTGTCACGTATTATCATAATGTCACAGAGCCCAAGTTGACATCTTGGAATAGCTGACCAACAGTCTAAAATCCAAAGATTACATTTACATGGATATAAAGCAGCAAATCCTCACATTTAAAATGAATGACTTAAACGATTATCATCATTGATCCTTTATGTTCTGTTCTCTTAATATGCGTATTTATGAGTTCAGCCCAAGATAAAACCATAATATTTATTTTTACTTTGATGTGTTCTTCGTCCACAGGCTTACCCAGAATACTTGATCACCTACCAGATTGTGAAGCCAGAGAGTCTAGCCACGCCTGCTGCCACCTCCGAGCAGAAGTCCTAAAATGCAATCGCAGCTGGACCCTGAAGAAGGCTCCACTGCACTGGACTCACAGAGAGGACTGGAACTGAAAAAGAAGGTGTTTCAAACCTCAGACCCAAAATAAAGGTCTCCAGAGCTGAACTCGAGGTGGGTGAGGTGAAGTGTTGATCAGAACGACCCTCGGAAGCAAGACATGGATGTGTTTGCGCGGAAGAAGAGGAGGATGAGGCAGTGTCTTTGAGTTTCGGGGGATAATACATGCTCAGTGCAAAGCAGCAGACAGTAAAAACCCATCAGATTCTTTAATTAATTGGGTCTAATTTTGCAGGAGAAAAAGAAAATAGTTTGATCAACTTTTCTGGAAGTGTAGCAGTAAGCTGATTTTTTAAATTTGCAGCTCTCTGGTTTGATCCTAAAAACAATTAAAGAAGCAATTAGAACAGGACACACTCCAGAGCAAAACAAACGTCCCTGATTTTGCACCTTTGCACTGCTTATGTATTCTACCCCCAGCTTTTAATGTGTTGTTTTGATATCGTGTCCTCTTTCGGCTCTGCATCATCCACGGCAACAAAACAACACCCCGAGGCCACATCCAGAAACAGCAATTGTCGTGCTGAGAGAACAGAAATCCGGCGCATTTTATGTTACAGCTTGTCACATTTTCACCAATGAAGCTCATGTAAACAAGACGCCAGATCCCTGTGTTCGCTCACATCATCTCTGCTGTAAGCAAAGAAGAAATGATGAAACAAGTGTGAGCAGTGAGAAGGAAAACAGATTACAGCGGACAAATACCCAGAAGTCACTAAGCGGTAAACAAACAGGAGATCAGAATCCACTGCTGCTACCGTTTCGGCTGCGGACTTTCCCACTACAGTTCGTACTGGGACCATATTCTACATCTGTCAGACCAAACCAGTTCACAGTATATAGTTGTTTTTTTTTTGATTACTTGGCCAGTACTTGATAACAATCAAGCAGCAACCACAGTAGCTGAATGTGATAGGCTGAGACACCTGTCAATCAAGCCAAAATGCCGCTCTTTGGGCCTTAATTTTCTTTTAATGAAAAGGTTATTTCTAAATTTGGTCCAGTATGCAACTTATACAAGTGTGATGTAGGAATCTGAAGCCACCAGTGTGCAGACACTGAGAATGGAGTTTACAGTAAAGTAGGAGACATCTTGTGTGCAGCAGGAAAACTTTAGAAATTAACACAATTAACATATTCATAGATTCAGGAATTTTTAATGAGGTGGAAAAAATAGAGGCCTTTTTTAAAGGATTTTAATGAGGAAATTAGATTTTTTTTTATTTGCAAAACATATCAGACACACATTGTTCCAAGCAGACTGTCTGGAGGGGATCTTTAAGTATAATTAAACACTGACTTTGTGTTACTACAGCAAGTTTTGAGGTTTTCCCATTTCAGTTTAATACTGCGTTTTAGAGTTCGTATCTAGAGACCATCTTAAACCAACTTCGGCCCCCGACAGTCAAACATGGTGGTTGCTGCTTGTGTCAGCCCAGCTCAGATTTAAACTCAGTCTTTTACCAGAACCAGGAGGACCACGAGAGACCAGACTGTGACACTGTTAAACATGTACAAAACGCACACTGGATTACACTTTTCCCCTTCGTTTGTATTACATTTCACTCAAAAGCTGCACTTGGCAACTCAGGCGACTACAAAAACAGCCAGTTGAACATGTCAGGTGATATCATTACACTGCACACAGGAAGCTCTGTGTTCATCCACCCAGCCAGCATTGGGATCTTTTCTGCCAAACGGCCGAGATAAAACAATGAGCTTTCTCATTCTTTGCGCTCTGCCGTTGCACAGTTTTGTTACATCACCTCTTCATCATCTTTGGTGTGAGAAGTGACCATTAACAACACAAGAAAGAAGTTCTGATTGGAAGAAAATGGGCCGTTACCCTCGGTACAAACACATTGTGATTGATCCTGATCTTGCCAACTGCAGCTACAACTGTGTGTTACTCAAGTACATCTGGAGCATCTTTTTTGTGTTGTGTTTTACTGTATTTCACAGGGACCCACATTTTTCCTTGTGCTGTTGTTTACATGAACCTGCTGCCTTTTTGCCCCATTCCTCCTTTCCCTCTCTACCTTTTAACTGTTGGCACCCCCTAGTGGTGCTACAGAGGAATTCCTGGCTTGCAGTATTCAGTTGAAGAGGACAAATGTACTGTTTGTGTGTAGGGACTTGTTTCTACACAGCACTATTTATGTGTTTTTTCTGAAGCATATTCCATTTTTTTGTTTTCTTCCTTGCATCTTTATACTAATGGGTTTACACTCGTCAGACATCGTAAGCAAATGTGAAAAGTGATCCTCATTCAGCGGGCTGGTCGCAGGCTTCAGAGAGTTATTTATATAATCAGAAATCTGCAGGTTGACTGAGGTGGAGGATGACGAAGAGGATGATGATGTTGTACATAAAGACGAGCTATTGCATATTTGTTTGCATTAACCACGTATGATGACACACTAACATCATAACAGCAAGATTAGCAAACTCCTCACACTACGTACTGTAAGCTTTTTTTCTTTCTTTTTACTACATTGACCATGTTTTTCTGTTGATAGTTTATTTATGATCATTATTTTCAATTAATGACACTGCACACCATGTGGGACCACGCCTGAGTTCAGCTTCTGTCATGTGGATCATGTCAGGTCAAGTCCAGCAGTGCTCAAGGACAAGAAATTCCTGAAAAAAAACCTGTGGAGAACGGAGAGAGCGACGGCCTTAAAGTTTTTTTTTAGAATAAATAGATTGGTTTGAAATCACTTGGAAACTCACCAGAGAGAGACAGCTGTTACAAAATCAAACAACTAGAGAGGGACAGGCCATTCCAATTTGACAAAGCTGTCCCTGTTCTTATATTTGATTGCTTTGTATGTTGACTTTGTTTGCATCACAGTGTCTGTGAGTCAAACTCAGATTTCAGCTGATTTGCATTTTCAAGGTGAAGATGACGTTGGTCTGGGCCAAGTGCAAACAAGCATTAAATCTGTGTTCAGGGTGAAATTAACCTAAAACCTTCATGTGTTTTTCAGAAACAAAAGTTAAGTGGCAGCTCAAAATAACAGACTAAACTAAACCTTTTTGTCTGACTGTTTTCCAAGCTGTGAAGTTTTCACATCAGCCCTTTTCCCACACGCCCACACATTTGATAGCAGCGGTTCATCCCAGTAACAATTAGTGATAATAAAAATAATTTGAGTAGCGGCACATTTCAGCAAATTACAAAGTGATTCATTGCAGGGGAAATGAAAAGGAAATGAATTAAAAGTGAAAAATTGAATAAGTAGACAGGAACAACTGATGACTGAAGTAAAAATGATAGAAACTAATAAGCTTGAAATTAGATAGTAATGGGGAAAAAAGTTTTCAAAGGGAAAACACAACAGCACTGGGACACAGTCCAGTATATGTTTTTTATTTGTTTTTAAGATGCATATACCATTACGATGGTGATTTTACCTGCCTGGAAGATGTTTCTCTTACACGTGCAGTGTCCCTCAAATGATTGTTTTTTGCATCAGAAGATCTGGCATTTGACAAACAAAGCGAGTGTACAGCTGACCAGCCAGAATTACGTTACTGTTTTAACTCCCTCTGTGTTGTCCCTTATCAGAGTCAGCACTGGGAAGGTTTCAGATGATACTGGAATAACATCCAGAGCAGGCGGAGTTTATGGTGTTGACCTCATTAAGGTCAGCAGCACCGTATGATTTATTAGCAGAGAGCCGTGGGCTTTGTTTTAACTGAGACTGTACATAAACTAACTCCAGATGGGCCTATTAATTGGTCTTTTATGGATGATTTTGAGTTTATTTTTCTTGCTTTTTGTCTTTTGAAAGACGTTTTTTATGTGACAACTATTTGAATTGTGTTTTAGCTGGTCTGTCTCTACTTATCTGTCTCAAGGGCCAGTCAGCCATCATGTTGTAAATAGTTTGGAGGGGTGTGTGTGTGTGTGCACCTGTTCGAGGAATCCGTGCCTCACCCTCTGACCTGCCTTCTACCAAAAGCCACCAGTTTAACACATTTCCTCATCAATAATGTTTGACTTACGGTTGTACAGACGGTTGTACAGAGCTGCTCACCAGCTAACATGTGGAACGGAGAATCTCCTCACTCTTGTACAGAAGAAAATCCTTAATAAAAGAACTTAACAGTGTTATAGTCTTTGTTCAGTTTATTGGCAGAACATGGTTATTTACCAGGATGTACTTTTTAATTCATCTTGCTTCCGTATTTGTTATGTTTTTGTTAGATTTGCCTCCACTGAAGCAGGCATGCCAGTTTTATCACTCCACAAGGCAATTTTCAGGTTAAATAGCTATTTTTCTGATACAAATACAATGCCCCCAACTCCCAGTTACACAGTACAATTCAACTGCCTTTCTCAAATGAGCACAAAGTTTAATTGACGCCTCTCTAAAACAGTTTCAACAAAAAGTGAACATTATAACCTTCACGAAGGGAGGATTTATTGCATAACTGTAGACTGCACAGGTTTCTAACTCTAGGTGCACCCAATAAACTGGCTAAAATGAGCTATCTGGTTACTTTTTAATGATGTTTGTTTTTTTGTTTGATGAATGTACTTTTGGGTACAAGTTAATCAACACCTATAAGCAACTCCGGTATTAGTTGAGAATGCAATCCAGACACTGAGATCTGGCAGACCAAGAAGGTTCATCTCAACATTTAAAAAAAAAGTACATTTATTTTCTTGTCTGAGATTAGGGAGGCACTCAACTGTCTTAAAACTCCAATTCATCCTGTTTCCTGTGCTGTTGAATTGATTTTCTGTGTTTACTTGGAGATGAATGGCCATGGGGGTAAAATCGTTTGACACCTCAGCCAATCCAAGAACGGGAAGAAACACTGCAATTCATCAACCCAAACACTTATCAGGATGGTAAATCGGGATAGGGAGAAAAAGCAAAATCATCAATACCACCACCAATAAAGAGACCCAATCAACTGTTCTGTTAATCTATCTAACCACTGGAGGTTGTAGTGTATTAAAACCACAGACTGGAGCCAGCTGTTTCTTGTAGAAGGGCTGGTATGTTTCTCTTAAATAAGCACTAATTTTAGCACGGATGTGGTTTAAGAAAAAGAGTCTTGACAGGGTTATCCGAACACAAAAAGGTGTACAGTACTTCTACCAAACAAAAAACTAAGTTATATTTCTTGTAGAAAATGTATTGATTGAGTCTGTGGAAGCTCAGGCCTGCCAATATTAAAAAGAAATCACTTAATCAACTAGAAATTTAATTTTGCATTTGTGTGCTCAATTTGTGTGGCAAAATTAAAAACTTTAATTTACATGTCTGCCAAAATTAAAATCAACATGAAAACTACTTTGAACACCGGACGAGATATAACATAACCACGCTACGGCTGAAAAGCAGTGATCAGAGGATGTTATTCCACTACTGTGGTTGTCACTGGTTCACTTTAATACATTTCACAAAAAGGTCTGAGAGAGTCCTTCCATCATAACAATGACCATAACAACAGCCATGATTTAATAATTTTATTAAAGTTTATTTTGTGATACTTGCACACGCAAACACACACATCCCCTCGCTCTTCCTAAGGCTGTCCTTCCAGCTCCTCCTCCAGATTTTCCCCTTCCTCCAACACTTCCTCTACCTCTTCCCCTCAAAACTCTCCCCACCTCACTCCCCCACCCCAGGGTCAGAGGAGGAATACTGGACTTGTGTGCCAGCTGCAGAGGGACCCAATACTCCTGGAGCATCCCTTTGCTGAGGAACTTGAGGCTTTTGAGAGAACAGTGCATCAGCAGCAGGAGGCGCAAGAGAGCAGCTCAACCTGAAGGTCAGACTCCAGGTCAGTGCTTTTCTTCTTCAACTTCTTGCTTTGAATTTGTTTTAACTGATTTTATATTAAATTAATTTCTTTGAATTGAAATTATTTACACTGATTTTATTCGATTAGAGCTTAATTGAACTGATCTGATCTGAACATTATGATTAAAGTCAGTAAATGCTACGTGCTAGCTAGCAAACACTCGTCTAGTGTGACAAGCTACACAACAGCTCCTACACTGTTCATTTCATGAAAATAAATAAAAGCACTACTCTAAAACGTAACAATGTTACTTACACAACATTACATGTGACTTTAAGTAACTTAACTTCACAATTACAACTAAAAATGGCGATAGAGAGAGCAGAATGCAAATGTGTCCCCTTTAAAGAGGAAGTTAAGCTAACGGAAGTGCGGCAAGTACCGTTCGTAAAATAAACGTCCAACATAGACCAACATATCTAACCCTTGTGAGAAACCATATACTGTCAATGTGTTAAACACAATATATTCATGTACACATCCTGACAACATAACAAAAGCACTCAAAAAACATTGAAAACGTGATGGCGGAAATGCTAACCGCGCGTCCTTCAAAATAAAAGTTTGGGCCTTGATCCATGTTGAACTAGAATGCCCTGTTCATAATACAGCCCATCTAATTACATCACACTGCTACATCTGCACAGATGGAGCGTGATCTGCAGGGGATAGCGTGAACCTCCAAGGATGGACATATGGTGCTGGAAGTAGGGGCGCTGAGGGGGACGCAGCACCCCCTAAAACCTGGCTTAATGAAAACTATTAGTTCGGAAAAATGTTTAAACTTATAATGACTTTCTCATGTTTTATTGGGGACCATCCAGGATGGTGACACCACATCAAGGTGACCAAGATGTGTGGGAATAAATAGTGGTAAAAGCTGTACTAGCAACAAGGTATTTAAAGAAAGCTGCACCTCATTGCAGGGGTCCAAAATGGGGGGGGCGGGTTATGGCATCAGTAGTAGTAGGAGTTGCACTAGAGGACGGAAGGTAAGAGAACTGAAGAAGAGAATGGAGGAAAGACCTGAAGAGAAGATCAGAAAAGAAGCGAAAGGAAGAGACAAGAGAAGAAATATGTTGAAAATGGAAACAAAAGAAGAGACAAGAAGAGAAGGATAGAGATGAGAAAAGAAGAGTAGAGAGGAGAGGAGATATAAAGACAAGAAAAAAGAAGACAAAGGAAAAGGCGATAAGAATCTATTAAAGTAAGACAGAAGAGACAGACAAAGAGATGAAATGTTAAGGATAAGAAGAAATTTAAAAAATAAGGGAAGATTAGCAGATATGAGACAAGAGAAAAAAGGAAAAAGAAGAGAAAGGGAAAGGTTTTTACAGTGAGGTAGAGAAAGGTTGTGAAATAGATTTTTTTTTAGCTGCAGACAGTTGTGGGACATCCAGCTGTTTATTCTGTGTTTATGAGGCTGAGGGAGGCCTCCGGTTGGACCACTGTGCAATAAACAAGAGCAGAGAAATATTCATGGTGTGGCAAGAGGGTGGCATGGAGACTTTAAGGGGTGGCAAGGTTGGGTCTAAATACATTTTCATTGAACTTAGTCTAAAACATGACCATAACAAGTCAATAAATAATTTAAATTAAATTATTCTTTACGTTATTTTCAACATTTAATTTAAATGAACGTGTTAAATTTAACAGCATTTGACACCAAACTGGGGTGGGAGCTGGGTTTGCTTTTGTTTTGTGGCTGTCATAGGACAATAAAATGTTCTCACCACTGGATGGCGCTGTAAGTCAATGATATGCCACATAAAGGGGCTCCTGGTATTTTAAATAACAAAGAATACACATGCTCTCCATAAAGCTCCTAATTCATTACATATTTTTTACATTTTAAAATCTGGATTTGTTATTTGATATCATTTACAGCAAGATTATAAAATGCCTGCATATTAGAAATAATAGCAGGGAAACCCAACACCAGTTACAGTGCTTGGATTGTGGATTTTTAATCTTATATTTAATATTTAATTTTTAAATATTGGATTGGATTGAATTATATTCTACCGGTGTTACTGTTATTGTGTCCGCACTGTATTTGACATACCACAGTTTGTCTTTGGGATCTGGCTGCTTTGGATTATTTTTTGGATAACGAATTGATTGGAATGTGGTATGACTTATAAGTTTTAAAAAAAAACCCTCTTTGTGCTTTGACACTATTATGTGATCAATCTGGGATTATATGAGTCATTCAGTTATGTTTTTTTTCTGTGAACTTGCTAAACCTGCATCATCTACCGTATTCTGTGTGTACTAATATAGGAACATTACCCAAAGTGTGTAGGAATGAACACTCATAATGCACTGTGTTCATTTTTAAATGCTAGCCTCTTGTGTGTATCAATTCAGTTTCACACACCATCGCACAGAGAAAGAACATACAGCTTAATTAAGAACATTGTTTATTCAACAGATCATCAGTAATAAATAAATGCACAGATCATCATTCATTCCACAATAAAATTGAGGGAAAGTTTTTTTTTTTATATATAAATGTCCAAGTGGAGGATTGATATTGCCATGATGGGTAAACAGCATTGACCAGACAGAGAGACAGTCTAGACAGATGGACTAACACAGAGAGGCCGACAGGCTGACAGACAGACAGGTACCACACAGATGTGTACAAAGTATTGCGTTTTTCACTGATTGGTTCTCTTTTCTCTCTCTCTCTCTCTCTCTCTCTCTCTGTCTACGTGGACAAAATGTCTTTATGCAAAGTCTAGTCAGTCTACCATCACCAGGATGTACAGATCAATCATAAATTATAAATACAGTATTGCATCACTTCAAAGTGCTACAGAGATAGGTGCCGACAATCTTCAAAAACAGAGAATGGTTTGTTTTCTTGGAAACCCTGTGTGTGTGTGTGTGTGTGTGTGTGTGTGCGTGTGTGTGTGTGTTTTGTGCGTACATCAGGACCCGGGTATAAAAGCAACCATGGTTGGACTTTGTGCCTTTGGATGTCTAGCACAGAGTGGAGAGCTTAGCCTGGTCAAAAGCAGAAGCAATACAAACTTGGTCTCAAACTGTGATATTACGAAGATTTGACATAAGTACAGTATTGCATGACCTCAAAGTGCTACAGAGAGAACTGTGGACAACCTTCGAAAACAGAACAGTTATGGTTGTGTTGTACGTGTGTGTGTGTGTGTGTGTGTGTGTGTGTGTGCACATCAGGACTCAGATACACTGAATGAACTGAATTATAAAGGACAACTTCCTGTTATTGGATGGTGGTCTCAAAGCTCAAAGCTTTCTTCTCTTTGTCTCCATCACTCCTTTTGTTTTCAGTATGGATGGAAAAAGTGAAATCAATAAGTGATTAAGTTTTATTTTAACCTGGATTCCCCTTTACAAGGAACAACACTGAGGGTCCCTGATGTTTGGTAAGCCGAGTATAAAGCGGCCATGTTTGGATGTCCTGTCTTAGAAAATCCAGCCACGGTATGTGTCTCTGTAAAAACATCGGAGGATATATGCAAGAAAATATTGCCCATAAAATTCCTCCATTTTGCCCAAATTCAAGATGTTAAATTCTCAGTATTTTTCTTGATGTTTATGTCTGTTCATGGTTTAGTCAGCCTGAAGAGTTGCCATTTCAAAAGGTGCAATTCACTGAGAGTCTGACACATAATATGGACTCACACCTACTCAAATACAGCATTTATGTGCTTGTGTATGCTATTGTCCATCTGTTTGTATGTGTGTGTGTGTGTGTGTGTGTGTAAGTAGAGATGAAGAGAGAAGCTTTTGCTCTTTTGACATTGTGGAATAAGAGTCTGTCTGCTGAAATCTGAGAGATTTTAAAGTCTGACTAACATTCAGCATTCTGCTTTCTAGCAGCTAAGAAAAAAAGCACTGTTCCTCTGGCAAATCCAGGAACGCCTAAATCCATGAGATAGCTTTATGAACAAGGCACAAACATCTTAAAGGACCATTCGCTGGTGATGCACATTTTAGCCCACAAACTAAAACTAATTACCATTTTCCACAGCATCCTATTGGAGCCGATGTTTTCAGTTCATTTGAGTGCACTATGAACATAAACTTAAAACTTAAAATAACTGAAACCAATGTCTTAAAGGTTTTGGAAAATGGTCATCAGTAAAGACTGAATTGTTTATAATGGGTTAAAACATACAAAACCACCAGCATGGTCCTTTAAGTGGCCGTCTTCCAGAGCCACTGTGCTCCAAAGTTTACCCTCCAATCGAAAAACAATTTTTTTGTGATTTTGCAGAAGGGGTTTCCTACAGTATGTATCAGGGGCCCACAGTGGGGTTTCCCAGTCCATTTACAAGGGCCCTGGCCTTTATTTGGCATCTTATTTTATTTATTTAGCCTCTCTTCAGCGAGGAGATGAGGAGCGGAGGAGAAGGGGCGGACGAGGTGAAGATGAGAGGCAGAGATGAGAGGAGGAGGAGGAGGGAAGGAATATAAAAGGATGAAAAGGAGATGAGAGGGAGGGGAAGGTGTGGGGGAGAGACAGAGAGAGGAAGAGGACGTATGAAAGACAGGAAGCTCCGGTCGGACTGCCGGCAGAGCACCTGTCACTGAAGAGGCTCCTGCTTTCTATCACCGTCTCCTCCCCTCTTTTTTCCATCCATCTCTTTTGTCCGGCAACAGGAGGGGACACCCAAAGGGGAAAGAGCGGGTGCTTAAAATTCCTCCTTCCTTCCTGTGTCCATCTCCTCTCCTAAAGACCTGTTGTTTCCATAGCAACAGACCCTGTCTTCATACTGAGCTTATTCACTTGGTAGTCATGAATGTGTGTGTGTGAGGCAGAGAGAGAGAGGGTGTGTGTGTGTGTGTGTGTTCGTCACTGCTCATGCCTCTCTGTGTTTGTGTGTCAGTGTGCCTCTGTGCATGTTGTTGTTTTGTTGTTTCCAAGGAAGAGGGTGTACGTTCAGTAATAGTCAGTCCAACACTCCGTCCAACAAGTTTTGAAAGCCGGTTCATTTTTGGTCAATTTGAATGAATCTCATGTTAAAATGGAAGGAGCGTCGGCTGGTTTCTGAACTTTAAAAAGGTTTATTTTTTTTTAGTCTTTGAGTTTTGAATCAGGCACGTGACACTTCTCACCTCCCCGCCTTGGAAGCATGTGCAGCAGTCAGTAAGACTGACAGCTCTTCCAGCCAATGACAGCCCAGTCTGTGCTCAGTTAGTTTGTTGGGGGGGGCTGCGATTGGCTGTCCATCAGCAGCCGGGGGAAGTCGTGATGGGACTGTGGTGCAGGTAGGCGGCGTTCACCACAGAAACTGGGAAGTTGAAAATGAACGGAGAGGTGGGCGTGGCTGACGTCGAGGTGGTGGTCGTAGAGGACTTGGGTCCTAGCAGCGGGCTCGCTGTGGCGGCCGCTTCGGCGGCGCACGAGGTAGCGAGGAGCTGCGACTCGAACTGCAGCAACTGGCCCATGAAGCTGAAGTTGGGGGAGATGATACTGCGACGCCGGCGCACAAACTCAAAGGCTTCGTCTAGACGCACCCGCTTCCTCTTCATCAAGTAGGCCAGGCAGATAGTGGCGGAGCGGGAGATGCCTGCTTGACAATGGACCAGCACTCGCCCACTGGAGTCCCGTACTGAATCTGTGGAGAGAGGGGGTCAGAGGTCAATAAATATGATTCACTTTCTACAGGCTATCACTTTTGAATGGATTAGGTACAGATCCACCAATGTCTCAACATTTGTTGGTTGCCATAGAATTTGGTAGCGACATTCATGTCACCCCACAGGACGAATCGTAAGCACTTTGGTGATCCCATAACTTCTTAATGCTCTATCGCCATCCTCAGGTCAAATTTGTCCAATATGCCTGCAAAACAGCCTCAGCTGTATTGAGCAAAGCATACTAACACGCTAAACTTAGACAGAGAGCATGGTAAACATTAAACCTGCTAAACGTTAATGTTAGCATTGTCAGTGTGAGCATGTTAGCATTTGGCTAAAAATCTGTGTTGGGCATATGAGTGTTGCCTCAGAGCTGCTAGTGTGACTGTAAACGCTTGTTTTTGTATTGTTGTTACGGTTCTTTTTCCATTGTGGTTTGCAGCTATTTCCTTCATGGAGAATGAAAGTGAGCTGTATTAATGTTTTCCTGTTTATTTTATCTCTAAGCAAAAGGTGCAATGTTTGTAGGTTTATTTGGTGGTTTTATTGCTTTTTTTTTTTTTTTTTTAAAGGTGAAAAAAGCCCTTTGAACTTGAAATTTAAATCTAGCTGATGGCTAATCTCATGCTTGCAAAGCCAGAACAGAACAAAATGAATGCCGGACTGAAGCTCACGTTATCTCTTTCACCACCCAACAAACTCGCCCTAAATCTTTTTTTTTTTTTTTACTGCCACCACGTATTTTAAACACAACAGATGTACAGCGACGCTTTGCCTCAAGCTCTTTTCATTTCCTCTCCTCTACATTTTCATGCCTTCCCCTCTCAGCGCAGTCAAACCGGTAACTAACCTCAAAGTGAGAAAGCAGCAAATCACATTTAACTGAAACACGCAAGTGCAAAAAATTTGAGTCATCAGCCTCTTTCACACTTCCTCCCCTGTCCTATTTATGTCTCTGCCTCTTTCAGTGTGTTTAGATGCATGCTGTTACTTCATTACTGTGAATAACCGGTAATAGTTTGATTAAAGCATTTACAGTAACTCAATTTCCCCAACAACGTTTGAATGATTAGTTGGACAGTCATGTTAATGTCCTAGAGCATGTGTGGCGGCCTGCAGGAAATTGGAAGCACAGAATATGGAGAAGATAATGGAGGGACTTCATTTATTGTTTTTTTTATTTCCCACCACTGCTGGTCACGCTCCTGTTTGTATATAGAACCACTTGCTTTGAATCCAGCTCACTTGATGACCTTTCTGAAATATTTGCTGCCATTGCTCTACATGCACAGATGCGCGATCGCTAACAACCACCACCCCCCCCATTTCTCATTCTTTGTGTCTTGCTCGGCTTTTCAGATGTCAACATCTTTCCTCTCTCAAACTCTCTCTCTCTTTCACGCACAAACAGTCAGATTTTTCAGGTAACACCGCCACAGCGTCTGTTCACCCGGTAACAGTGGATGAGTCAGACTCTGGTCCCACAGCAGCTAACTATGACGCATACCAGCACCTACACACACACACACACACACACACACATACATCGGACTCACAAACATACACTCAGAGCACGGAAACCACACGCACGCAATGTCTACACACAGCAAGCATATGCAAAAGCAATTCACACACACGCCTATATTTTATACACAAACACAGATCATGCTGCAGAGAAATTATTGATTACAACATTTTCTCATTCCAAATGCTATCCTCTTTATTTTCCTTGATTGAATTACATTTGTTTGTTCTGCAATGGATTCATTTGATTAGATTTTGGTAGGTATTTTATTTCTTTTTGCCTCTGCAAAAAAATAAAATGTGCTGGAATGTGTGTGATAAAGAGCTACTTGAAAATAATAATTTGCAACAGATTCCAAAGAATAAATGTATGATTTGTCATCATCTGCCTGCTCTGTATGCACAGTGTATTCAGTAGGCCTACATGAAAGATTTTCCACTGCGGTTCTCTGAAAGCTCTTCTCTGGGAGAAATTCTCAGACTCCAGACACCAAGTGACGGACTTTGCATTTACAGATTGGAGAAGAAGGCTGTTTAGTTAGCACGAGCCACCATTGCTAAAACTGCATCAACACTGAGTGCAAAGGAATAAATATCCCAGCAATAACAAAGATATTAATTAAAACATTAGATTTAATAATAAATGTGTCTAGACCTGCAACGATTAGTTGATCCAAAGGAATTTTATCTATTTTGAACAACCAATTGAGTACATTTTCAAGCAAAAATGCCAAATATTAGATGGTTTTCTGCTTCTGAAATGTTAGAATTTTCTGCTTTTGTATATAATACTTGGGGTTTTTGGTTAGACAAAACAAGACGTGATATTATCACCTTGGGCTCTAGGAACGTGTGATGGGCTTTTTTCTCATTTTTCTGTTGTTTTATGCACAAACGATTTATCGAGAGGAGAAAGATAGTGAAAATATTTCTTAGTTGCAGCCCTATATATGTATTGTCAGTAATATTACAAATGTATTTGACATGTACTAGCAGACACTGCAGCAGCTTGCACACAAACATTCCACCAAAATTAAAAAACAAACTTATGACCTAAACCATATGACCTAAAAATGATGATGCTGACCTAAAAAAAGAGCCACATAAAGCACAAGCATGTTGTAGCCTGAAGGAAGCTAATTTTATTTGTGGTTATCCACCATGAGAATGCATTTGTTCTGCTAAAATACACACACACACACACACACACACACACACACACACACACACACACTTATTCACTGACCTATGAACTCAATAGCCTCCAGGAACCAGCAGCTGATGTCTTCTTTATGGTTGTCCTCCACGGGAATACACTTGTACTGGTACGCCCCCTCGAAGTGGTTGGGACAGTCGGCGGACACGTTCAGCAAGGCGGAGATTCCTATGCCGTCCAAAACCTCTTTCTTTGAGGCGTGGAGGGCGCTGCCAAGGTAGAGGAACGGGAGGATCTCAACTGGGCCGCCCTGGACGAAAGACAGATGGGAGGATAATGTTTAATTTATTATTTCTTTACAAACCAGCAGTGAAGGGGCAGATTGTTCATAATTCATTCATTCATTCGGTCAGTCCATTGAGTCATTGCATAAAGAAACATCTCCTGACCCAACCTAACTTGGACAGACATGTTGGATATTAATTTACTTTAATGAACAGCTTACGTGATAAGACAAAGAATTCACTGTCTCAGTGAGCAGCGGAGGCCAGATGACTTCAGTATAAGCGTGACCTCGCTTAAATATTTTGTTAATCACATTAGCCATGCTTATCATCAGACAGGGGTAGCTTATTATCTGTGTGATTAATGCAAGGTCATTCAATATGGACCATTTAGTTCTTTTCATGCCAAGTTATTTCCCCATACGGAAACATATGGGAGCTGCGTGAATGATGAATTGACTATGGTTTACATGCTCGCACCTTTAGAATTCAGTGGGAATATTAGCATAACTTCGATTAATCAGTACCTTGGTGCTCTACATTCACCATTCTCTCACGCTCTGTTGAGGATATCTTTCTGTGATTGCACTTTGTCAGTGGAACAACAGTTCTGAGAAAAACAGCGTTCACAGCAACATTTCTTCAGAAATAACACATATTGGCAGCTGCTACAGTGTAAGCAAAACTCAAATGTGCTACCACATAATGAATGTACACTACAAACTGTCAGTTAGTCAGTTACGCACTTGTTAACATAGCACTGAGTGAAGGTTTGTTTCATTTATCAAGTAAAAGTATGTGTTTGTTTGTCCTTTCTGGTTTTTTTATTTTTTTTATTTTAGTTGTTGGCATTAAAGAATTTGCCCAACCACCACCGACATTGCTGTCACCCTTCACAATGAAAAATATAAAGCTTTCATGGTAAAAAAACAAACAAACCCCAAAACGAACAAAAAAATGAAAAATGTCGGGTTGGGTTCCACTAGTATTTGTGCTATTTGTCTGATTTACTGCAGCATATTCTACAGAGGAAATATTTTCACAGCACACATTACACACTTGCAAAATATTGTAGTCTGTACTACATAAAAAAGAATATATATCTAGATGTTCATATACACAAATCCAATTTTTGGCCAATCTGTTCACATGTCAAAGCATATCCTAATGTAAGAGTGCAAGTATTGTTTTCCCTTTCACTGGATCCGAGGGGTCAGCTGTTTGGCGGTCTATACCGGTAGTGAGACTTATTGACGAGGGCTCTGTCTGTTTATGTCACTGCCGCTGACGACCTCAGTACTGACACAGCGTCAGGAAATGATCAATACTGCTAAGAGATGTAATGTGAGGAGGGGGGCGGAGGGTGAGAGGGGAAAAAAAGCAAGTGAGATACCCAGCTAGCTCTTCTACCCAATCCATCATCTCTATGCTGAAACAGGAAGCTACAGAATTCCTGGAATAAAAACTCCACCTGACAGTGACGCCTAGACTATCAAGCATTTTTCTTAGAAAACATACAGAGGCTGGATTGTACTGCGTCTCTCTCCTTGTGCGTTCCATGGAATTAATACACGCCACATGTGACTGTGAACATTACATAAAATCTGCAGCAGATCACGGACCAACACAACAAGGCCACCCAAAGGTGAACTATGACTTCCAGTGCAGCCATATCATAAGACAAATAACTAATTCAAACAAAAAGACTATTTTCCCATCCATTTTTTTTCTAGCTTGGCCTTTAGACTGAAGAAATGTGTTCAAAAGTACACTTTCACTGGCTGGGAAAATGTGGTGGAATGAATGCGGGAAAGGGAGACAGCTGACAGTTGAGTTGCACGGCAAATAACTTCCAGTGTTTGCACATGGCATCTCTCTGTGTACATGGGTGAAACTGAAGTTGACTTTTACAGGATCAATCAATTTGTTATCTGATGTGACACTGACAAATACCAATTTCCATAACGCATTAAGAGTTTTAATCACTTGTTTACACATTTTAATTCAGTGATTTGTGATTGTTTCACATTTATGAGTAAAAAAAAAAAAACCCATTAGTTGCAGCCTTAACAATTAGCTGCACACGCTCAGTAGCAGCTTACACATGACCTACATCATCACCTACATTTGTGAATGTTAACTATGTTATTGAAGGCGTGCTTAGCAGGCTGAAAATGTGTGGGAGGATTGAGACGGGGTTTGTCTGTCTCCTGTTGTGTGTTTTACCTGATCATGGTGTGGCGTCCCACAAGACGAGCATGCAGAGTCGCTGCTGGACTGGCTGATGAGGGGCGGTAAGGATTTGGTCTTTAGACAATACTCGGGGTACTCTGAGAAAAACCTGTCGTAGCCACCTGGAAAAGAGACATCATGGTCAAATATGGTGCATCAAATAGACTACAGTATAGACTATATGTTCCTGGAGACTGAAAGCTCCTCCAGGAACATTACAGAAACATATTTTTTTTGTGTGTTTATATGCATAAAACACTACAGAAGCGGACTTGAGGACAAAATAAGCATTTTAACACATTAACATCCCAGCACAATCTCATTTACTCCTCTCCATTCAGTGAGCCTGACACAAAGTCTATTAAACCGACCCCTGACCTACTCTGTCCTGTGTCTACTGCCGTGGATTTGAAAACAATTTCATCATCCCTTTGCTTTTTTTATACATCTGAAGCCTGACCATTGCTTCCTGCACCTCAGGGATCAAATCAGATTAACTGGTGAAATGCCATCTTTATAACCTACATACATTCACACTCCTGTGCTTCAAGGCGTCTACGTCATTAGGATGCACAAAAAAAGAATGCGCCACAGCTTGCAGCTTGCAGCAGCTTTGGTTTTCAGATTTCCTGCAGTCTAAATATAGTCTGGTGGGTAAATAGAGTGTTGATTTTAGATTTTGCAGCCTCCCGTCGCTGATTTACCCAAAGCAGATTGTTTCTGAAAGGATCTTGTGTGTCCTGTAAGTCCCTCCGGTTTGATGTGGCTTCTACGCATCAGCATTACCTCATTCACTCTGCCAACGGCCATTGGTCTGTGTGTTAATGTGTGTAGCTGTGAGTGACTGAGTGAGTGTGTGTATTGTAAAAAAATGAAAAAATTACACCACTGCATAAAAATAGAGCAGGATCTCTGGTTTATTGGCTAATGAAAGCTACAAAAACAATATTCAGTTTACGGAGGCAGTAACATAATATTGATTATGTGGGTTGAAAAATAAAATAGCCAATGCCCCAGATAGGCTGGTGGCATATCCACCAAAACTAGGCTATTCATGAAATTTGGAGCTATTATGATTATGATTATAATTATTATTGGCTCTGATTGTCATATTTAAAGCCTCAATATTAACAAAAAAATTATAATTTATTAGTTATTGTACTTGAGCACTACTATTTTTATTTTTTGTCTCCTTAAAGAGGAATATTCAAGAAGTCCAATTTAAAGGCTTAATTTAACAATGAAATAAACATTAAATATGGAGCAGTATCATGGGAACTTGCTATTTCTATCATTATAATGTAGCATTAACCTCCCCTATATTAGGCTGAAGCAAAAAAAAAATAATTCCATTCATCAGTAACACTGAATGAAAAGCTTCCATGGTGTGATAATGGAGCTCATATTTACCTTTGAGCAGGTATATGTGTGTGCCGGAGGAGTCCCTGCACAGCGCGTTGAGCACCAGAGTCAGAGTGCTGTCCTCCTTCACCGTCTCCGAGTCCGGCGTCCTCTCATCGTACAGCACCGCGGCGGAGTACATCCCGGAGCGGAGACGGCCCCGGACCTCCTCGTCCCCGGCCAGTATCTGGTCCATGCTCAGCGCGGAGCCCTTGGCCCTGCGGCGGACGATAGTGTTACAGCGGGCGTTGACGGCGCCGCGGATGTGCCCCGCGCTGTAGGCGAGGAAGGAGCGGCAGTCCAGCAGCAGGCACTTGGCGCTGTCGTCCTTTAGGAACCGCTTCAGCACCGGGCAGTCCATCTCGCCCAGGTCCTCCATAGCACGTAGTTTCAGGATGCGTGTGTAGGCTTCACTGTGGCGTTATCTCCTCTCTCCTCTCTCTCCTCTCTTTCTCTCTCTCTCTCTCTCTCTCTCTCTCTCTCTGCGTCTCTTTCTGAGCCCCCACCGCCCTCCAGACCAGCGGATCCTGCGGTGTATTCCGTTTGCGCCTCTCTAAACGCGCATTGTAACCGCACTACTCTTCACGCTCAGTCCGGTCACCTCTTTCTTTCTCCCCTCTCTCTCTCTCTCTCTCCCCGAGTGTTTCTCCTCTGGGTTGTTTCTTTTTTTTCCCCTTTTTTTTTCTTTTTTTTTTTTTATGAATGGGTGCATCGCGTCACGCCGGAGGTGACGTCAACCGATGGCAGCCTATCACAAAGCGTCCACTTTCCCGTCCCCTTTCCCTCCTCTGCCGTTCATTCATAAAAAAAAAAAAAAAAAAAAAGAAAGACAGACATCAATGAAAGGAGAGGCGATGGGGATGGAGATTAGGAGTTTGGCACTCGCCATGCCCTTACCCAGCTCTTCACCACATTTGAATGATAGTTTCTAATGGTGAGGTAATCGGTTAAAGGGATTTTAAATGAGCAGTCTTAAAAACAGAAACCCAAAAACAAACAGCTGAAGTGAATTCAAGTGTGTTAAATCTTTCAGAACATTTATTTGTGGAGGAACAAGAGATGCTCCAAATGTCTAATTTCTAATTGGCCTTCACCGAAGTCTTTAAACCTGCGTTATTAAATAATAATGCAGTGAATTACATGAACATGTAATGTGGAAAGCCTGTAGGCTATCACTGAGAATCAAAACACAACTCTGCAGCTAGGCTATGCTAGCTGGCTTTTAGCCTCTTTGTTTGTTTTGGTTGGTTTGAAGCCAGAAATATACTGTTTATTCACTTTCACCTCTGTCATTAAACTCTTTACCATTTTCAGCATAGAAACCCAACCGTATGCTGCCTGCAGCACCAAGAGGCACACAGAAATTTAGCAAAAATGACTTAAAGGAAAGTCATAACAGATACAGTGCTAGATGTTTTTCTCAAGAGCTAAAAGCGTAGTGAATCTTAGACTTACATTTGACATATGCCCAGAGAAATAACAGGAAATGAATGCTAATGATTTATTCCCACTGGACTGCAAAAGGAAGCAGCTGTTTAATAACATTTTAGCAACTTCATAAGACAGCAGCAGTGTCTAATCACTTCTACAGTGATACATTTTAATTGTCATTTTAATTAAATGCCAAAAATGAAATTATTTTAATCTTAAATTATAATAGGAATTGTTCATGTTTCCTTAAAATATTAGCCTTTTAATTAAAAACCAATAAAACTTAACTGTATTTGATCTAATTTTAATTCAAGGTTCAGTACAAACACTTAACCCTTTATTATAATTTAAGTCTGGTTGTGGTGCACTGTGCTGAGAAATGTGCAGGACTGCAGGTGGGTGTTCTTACGTATGTGAGTAGACAAACGTTTGTGTGTGCGTGTGTATATACGTCTGAGTGTGCATCTGCGTGTGTGGGTGTGTAATCCTACAAGCGGAAGCGCAATTTGCATCTTCTATCACACAGCCTTAGTGAGCGTGCTCAGGTATTTGCATGTTGATCTCATTTCCATGGTTACGAGAGGAAAGCGAGCAGCGCAGCAGCAAATGAGAGCAGGAAAACTCAGACACACTGACACAAACAGGCTGGCTGCAAAATAGGCAGACACTCCAGCTGAAAGAGAGAGACAGATAAACAGACTGCATTAAAAAAACTGATCATTTTAATGCTGTATCATTCTCAGATTGATTTATTATGAATGGGTTCATGTGGGTAAACAAGCTTATGGCAAGGCAATACACGAGCGTATCTGTGTTTGTTAGGCTTATGTTCTCAGGCCTGCTTTATTTTTAATGAATATTCCAAGATGTAACTTGTGTAATACAAGAAGTATGACCTGACGCCAATGTTGAAATGGCACTTCTAAACAAACGATCCGCATTCGGGACTCATGGGAAATTCTTAGTGTTGTATGTATGTTAGGTTTTGTATCTGGCATGGTAAAGAAAATGAAACCGTTGGGACTCAACAGTAAGCAAAAGCTAAACCGCAAAAGAGGAAATGTGGCAGCTCATGGTTGTAAGGCAATACAAATTTGTAGGTATTCTTATGAAAACTGGAACACATGTTGTTTTTTAAAAATAATATAATACAGCATTTTTTGATTTTAGTAGGATGCATATTACATGGAGTTATTTGCCATGAGAACACAACACATTTAGATGCAGTATCTGTGTCCAGGGTACTCCAGCACCAGTACCAGAACAGAAAATATAACTGGAGTAATATCACTTTAAAGCATGTGCAGTTCCGTCTACTGTTGTTGTTGAATGTGAACTCCTCAGAGAATATGGAAAGCGCAAGCACATCCTTTTAATAAAACTTAAAGGCAACCTTAGCCTAAGTGGTGTTATGCAACCAGTTACTGATCTTCATGATTAAAATTGGTGGAGTGCCCCTTTAACCAAATTTACATTATGAAGAATACTGCTGACACATAAAAAATTTGATAAAGGACAAACCAACATAGTAAGGCGTTTAGCTACACCAGAGCAACTTCAATGTGCCTTGATACTCCAGATCTCTGGAACTCTACTGGAGTGATGAACACCATTCTTCCAAAAGATATTCCTCTATCCAGTGTTTTGATAATGATGGTGGAGAACGCTGTCTAACTTGTCGACCATCAAGTCATTCAGTGACCCCCCCGTGCTCTGTGAGGAATCATCTGCCCCTGTTGTCTATTCAGGTTTTTTGCTTTCATTTGTCTGTAGATTCACACGCCTCTGTATCAGATTTTATACAATATACCCATGTTTTCCAAATCATACAAGAAAAAAGTGCACAAAAATCTGAATCTGGACTTTTTGAGCCACGTGTACATATATATTCTGTGTGCAGCGTGTGAACATGAAGTGTGAATAGTTGAAAGAGGCACTGCAGCAAAAAATACATCCTGAAAGAAAGGACCTTGAACGTTAAGACGGAGAGGTGAGACGGAAGATGGAAGACGGCGTCAGGCACACCAGGGATAAAGTGGAGAAAGATGACAAAGAGCAAGATGGAGGAGGGACGATGAGGGATAGATGATTGAGTATGAGAAAAGAGGTGATTACTTGTGCTGGATTGCAGCCTCTCGTGTCCCATATTAACACACGCACACACACACACACACACACCATGCCGCATTACTACCAACCCTAAACAATGCCTCGCACAGGCGGGATGGTGCTGCTGCCGTAGCAACAAGGGAGAGGTGTGGGAGGGCGGAGACAGCAGGCGGGGGGGCTGCGAGGGGATTGGCCGGAAACAGATTCTGCAATGATGTCATCCCTCACTCCCTCCCTTTACTCTCCCCTGTCCATCCATTCATCCCCTCACATCCCTCGCCTGTACGCCGTCATCCGTCAATACAGTGAACGAGAGAGGATATTTTGTAAATCTCTCGTCCTTTTTTACTCCATTTTCTTTTTCTAGTCTATCACTCTGTCTCCTTTGTTGACCTCTTTCATCCACTCTGTCTATAATTGTCAATTTTTATTTTTCATTTACAGACACAGTGCATATTACAGTAACACATTTCTGTAGATGCAATGAAGTTAGCCAGAGACAGATGGTACGTAGCCCTCCCCCAAAACAGTATTCAGAGCAATAATAAAAAGGGAATTTTAATGCAATAATTAAAAACATGCAACACACAAGCATCATGCAAGCAATCAAAAAGAAAAATAGCAAGGTGACAGCAAACACCAAGTCAAGTGCACAGACAGACTGACAGCACGGTGACGACAGCAAGGATTGGGGTCGGGGTTGGTGGTCAATCCCCCTGTTCACATGTTAAAGTGTCCTTGAGCAGCACGTGCACATTGCTCCAATGCCCCAATGGTCAAGCGAACACATCGGTGCTTATGTGTGTGTGTGTGTGTGTGTGTGTGTGTGTGTGAGAGAGAGAGATTGGTATAAAAGTGCTAAATGCATCCTGTTAGCATTTACTTTTAATGCTACATAGCTGACTATCAGTGACCAATTTCTTTAAAAGAATAGTCTAACATAACAACAAAAATGGCCTACCAGCACACCTAATTAATACAATATATCTCCTATGACAAATGGTTTTACAGGGGTTCATGGGGTGGACTATTTCTATTCTGGGTGCACTGACTCGGATTTTGTTAGTTTTAAACAAAGAAAATCCAACATGTTAATTAGTCCGTTTAAGAGATGCTGGTAGGCAGATTCATGTTTTGACAGTGCCAGGCGAAAAGGAGTATTTCTCAAAATGTCAAACTAGCCCTTTAAATAAGCTCTAAATACATTGTGTGTAATGTAATTGTAGTATTCTATGTATATGTGTGTATATATGATGTAATAAATAGTGGTCAATAATAGTGCATTGCTGGTGTTTTATAATGGAAATGATGGACAAATAAAGTCCATAACGCAGGATAATTAAACACCAAAATACCACAAAGAACAACTCACATGCACACTGACCTGTATGAGTGTGTGTCTAATTCATGTGTATATGCTCTAGATCTGTCCCACTCTCTGATCCCATAATCCAGTGGTTAAGCCTTGACTGAGTGCTGCAACATTTTCATGAATGAGTTTGTGTCATTTGTCGTGTGTGTGTGTGTGTGTGTGTGTGTGTGTGTGTGTGTGTGTGTGTGTGTGTGTCTGTGTGTCGATAGCAGCAGAGAGAGAGAGGGATGAAGGACAGACCGAGTTATGTGTCTGAAAGAGAAAAAGAAGAATGAATATATGAGAGAATGAGTGACAGATGCTACAAGGAGAGAAAAAAAAATAGGAAAAGTCTAGAGAGAGGAATAGGGCAGGGGATAGAGGCGAGCTGAGCAGTGGAAATAAGTGGGTAGTGTGGTGGGGGTTGTTAGCTGTTAGGAGCAGATCCATATTCTCTCTCTGTACAACGCAGGGATGAGTTCTTGTGGTTGACAAGCAGTTTAACCTTTCCACTGGAACAACCAAATCATAAAGATATTTTTTCACTCTTCTGGTGGAATAAAAACAGTACTTAACCACATTTGGTCAGTGCTATGTTTTGTGTGTTGGTCAAAAGCAACAATAGGACAGCCTATTATCTGTTTTTACAGATAATGGGAAAATGTGCAACAGGTTCACTAAAATCACAAAAAACACTCTAATATAATGCCGGAAAGTAGAACTGTGTTTGGGCTGCTCAGAGTATTAAAATACAAAACATTCCTATTGTAGATGTGAAGAGAGGAATCATCTCCAAAACCTTCTCTGAGTCAACGGTTTTGAAATCTAGGGAAACATTAAACAGAGTTAAAATAAATAT